ATGAGAACAACGAGGTGCGAGGGAGAAAGAGAGAGAGAAAGAGAGAGAGAGAAAGAGAGAAAGTGAGCAAGAGAGAAGAAGGACAACGTAAACACGAGGGGTTGCGAAAACTGCCAACTAGGTTACTCCTAACAACCCTCGGTAGGATAGGAGAGATCGTGCGGCGAGTTAAGTCCACCAAGTTAAACCCTCACTATGAAACACGCGCACTTTCCTCGCCCGTCGTCTTCGCCCGTCCTCGCCGCGTCTTCGCGGTGCGAACGTGCGAATGACCTGCCGAAGGACAATCCAGTGATAAAAAGGGTTAAGTCTGATACTCACCCTCTCCCGGTTTAAGATGCGCCAGGCAATAACAACAATTGGACAACAGCGGACGAGACAATCACCAGCACCGGCACTAGCACCACTACTACCCACGTCGGCGACGGCGACAATGACGACGACAATAACAGGGCGGGATTATAATCTTGTGCGCTCCATTCGCGAGCGATCCGTGAGGAGACGTTCTTGCGGAGCAGAGCCGCGAGGCGCCGCGTTGCACACGCGTGAAAAGCGGGCGCGACGTGTCGCGAACGACGAGACGCGTGCGCGCGCTCCTTCCTTCTCTCTTTCTCGCTTTCTCTTCCTTCTCTCGTCGGTCCCGATGCGAGATCTATAGGATCGCGGCAGGAGGAGCGGAGTACCGTGAAATCAACCGCGATCGCCGCGACCACGATTCGCGGATGGGGTGTCCCGAGGGAGAACGCTCTCGAGCGCCGCGACGACGCGCGTCGACGACGGCGACGGCGAGGAGCGCACGGCGAGTATAGAACGAGAACGACCCTTTTGTCGCTGCCACCACCGACACCGCCCTCGCGGCTCCTCGCCGCACATCGGGCGCGGCAGGAGCGCGCCGTCGCAACGACGCCTCGCGAATACGCAGGCGCGCCCTGACCTCCTGACGCCGAGGGTGGCCGACGACGCCGTCGCCGCGCGTGTATATTCCTTGCGCGCGGGTTACGTCCACTTTGGACCGCGATAACAACCGATAGGAAACGTTACCCTTAAACGAAAAATGATTATCCCGTTTGAGCGGCACGGTAATACAAGTCAACGTTTTCTCAAACTCGTCCGGCGGTGAGTTTCATTTATTGCGTTCTTTGTAATCGCTATCGCTTAGGAAAAAAACAAACGGCAGGAAACCGATTGCTCTAATTTCTGTCTTTCACATTCTCTCCTTAAAAATATAATTCGACGGTATAAATTGTTTGCACAAAAAGCAAGTAGATTAAAAAGAAAGTTTATTTTGTCAAATTTCATTGAAATGAATCATTGAAGTCGGTGATTAGTTTAAAAGTGTTTGAGTTTCTTTTTTTCCGCTGTGCAGTAATGTACTTAATATTTTTTGCAATAATCTTTTTAGGTCCCTCTCTGTGAAATAAAGGAGAGCGACACCATTAAATCTCCGATATGAGATAGAAAAGAATTTATAATGTATCTTGATATGTTTTTTTATTAAAAGAACTCAATTATTTAGATCCGTCTAAAAAATTATAAAATGAGTAAAAAAGAAAAAAATTAAAGTTTCTCTTTTTTCTCTGCTTCAAAGATTAAATATTCATAACTTTATGGAATTTTTTATCTTTTAATGTCAAAGGATGAATTTCTTCTTTGGAAATTTTTAGCCATATCGTGAGGTTTATCTTCTCTTTGGACATAAATAAGATGTTTCCACGAATAATATAACTATTAAAGAAAAAAAAAAAAAATTGTAAGGAGAGAAAGAAGAAGCTTATGTTAGATTTTCATGTTAGTAGACTGCTCTCGCGGGATCAACTGCCGATTGGTGGATTCCATAAGAGATTTATCACAAATTGCGGATCATCAACTGCATCGCGGGAAATTGGCAAATACATTTGATAAAAATTAAAGTGATACATAGTAAGAATTGAAAGATACCAATTATATTACAAAAATTCAATTCTTTTCCGCTCGTAATGATAAAAGTCTAATTGCGTAAAAATAAATTATCCTACAAAATTGAAAAAATAACGAATTATGAGCGAATACTCGGCTCAAATATCACGAAGTTCTTGATTTGAAACTTAACTTAAATTCAATTTACTCAAAACTGTTATTTAATGAAGAAGAGTGGAGCATTAATTTATTTTTTCTAATAACATGATATATATATATATATATATATATTTTATATGACGCATCATATTTCATCATCGATATATATACGACACATAATAATTCACATACTTGACAATCTTGACATTCTTCATCTAATTTTTGCATCTCGAAAAGTTCGTTCTTACCTCAAAGTTTAATCGAAACGTGACTTGCCACATGTCAAATCGTACGATTAATTGAATAAGTCTCGAAAAGCAGTGCAACGAGGATAGAACGTACGTACGCACGCATACACAGACCCACACGCACACACGGACCGTGCACGCGCCCACACATACACGCATACGCGCAAATCCGGAATTCTCCGTAAGCCCATTGTAACCGGGTGACAACATCACCTTGTTTTCACGAATTCACGGTGTCCTCCGCGTTAAACAAGGAAATATACTCGAGGAACCGTCTGAAGAACTCTCTTTTCAGATAATGCAAATTCAATTAAAGTCTCCTCCCGAACGTGAGAAACTTTTTCAATCAAATCAGTACGTATCAGTGCGCCCCTTTTTTGCCTTCGGTTTTTCGTCCGCAAAACCTTTTTCTACGGCCGCCGGGAACTCTAACGCGATCGGATGGTAATTATGTTAGGTATCAATTTAACAGTTTTCGACTTTCGGCCGCCTCGCTTTTTCCACGGAATAACTGACGAAGAACTAATAACGCGAGATCTCTCCTTGCTCCGGGCAGATCAGATAGAAACGATGTTTGTTGAATTTCCACAATTTCCTTGTCTCCGGTGGAAACTCCATCGCAAAAATAGACAAGCTCTAACGATATCGAACACACTATATTCAATCGCCGTAACTCTTTCCTCGGATAGTGTATAACATGTGTATCCGATACTTTATAAATTTTTCTGCTCTTTTTTTCTTTTGCGAACGCGATGTTTGTACGCGTATTATAGAGTGGTGCACGGTTATTGGTAGCAGAACAATGTGACAAGTCTCTTGTTTTACCGAGAGATAAAAGGCGATTGGAAGATTTCACGATACCGAAAATCGATAATTCCGGACAGAGATTGTATGGCGTTGCAGCGTAAAACTACACGGTACATTTCCTCCGGTTCATGTAAGCCAAGATGTACTTCGTTCCTGTTTGCGCTAAATGTCGGTACACTTTTGAAGATTGGACTTTTTTTCCCGCGAGAAATCTCTCGAACTTTCCCGGAAACGCGAGAAACAGAATCGCGTTTCGAAGAGTGTGCCTTCGAAGAGCGCGACGCCAAGGTACATACGAGTGCATTAAATCGAAACTCCGTAGATTTTTTCGCGACTCCCATTTCTCAATGTTAACGAAATCACGCGCGACTACCCTCAGCGAGCGAGAGAAAGAGAGAAAAAAAGAGATTCGACAGGATTAATTTCAAAGGGGTAATTTCAAAAACACCGAGTTGGAAATCGTATTTGCGCTTTTGGCATTATGAGAGATTTCTCGGCAAATGCTTCCTTTTCATTTGCGGTGGCGCGGTTTTTTGCGCAAAGCTCTGTCTTTTTTTCTCTCGCGCCAACTATCGCTTTAATGTCCACGATCGCTAGGTTCCGTTTCCACGGCAGCCCGCGGCGATGGATCAAACTGTTTAACTCGCTCGGAAGGGTTTGCGGAACCCACAGAGTTTGGTCGTTTTTCTCCTTTCGCAATGCAACGTTTCGAGATCGATGTGATGTCCACGCGTTCGGCAATGTGTTAATTAACCCGCGGAAAAATGTCTGCTTATTCACAACGATTGATTTGTGCACACGTGTGGTGGTGTGTGTAGTAGAATTTACTTTAAATGTTTGTGCATCAGTGATTGACTATCAAACGTGTACAAATCGTCAGAAATTTGTTGTTCAATTAAATCAAATTAAATAATTATATTATTTAAAAACAGAAATATATTGCCAATCATTCTTAATTATTATTAATAAAGCAATATATATTAATAAAATATAGTATATGATTATATTAAAATAAGTATCAATTTTTAAATCGTCGGGTATTTGCTTATTTACTTCATTATTTTTCTTTTTTATTACTCTTTTTCGATAACTCTTTTTTCATACAAAGTTGAAATCTTATCTGAAAAAATTAAATTCTATGCAATAAAGCATAAATTGTGACTTTAATCGTTCGTTTTATATGTATTTCTCCTGCTTGTTTCTTTGGAAGGTTGATTAGTATTCCGACTGCACTGTTGATGCTGCTCAGAATTTAAGTCGGAAGTAGCGGATAAACGGAGAAAATCGTGCAAAAGTCGAGGCGAGTCTACGCACGGACACGTGATAAATTGGCTCATCAGAGAGATGTAGACCGACATGATGTATCTATCAGCTGGATACGTTTAACATTGATTTCGCCGATGTTGAGCGTAAAACACGTGCGCGCCGCGTAAGAGAATATAAATTTTATCACTAAGGCCGTGCAAAACGATCTTACATCGAAGCAATTGATTTAGCCTACTTTTTTTTTGTAGTTCTTGCAAAAACCATTTCGAAGTTATTCCCGTCTGTAGTTCCGCATTCGTGTGTGTGTGTGTGTGTGTGTAATTTGCCAGCAAAAACAGTAGGGCGACGTTTGCGGCAATTGGCGAACGATAAACTGACCCGGTTCGTAAAAATACAAAAAAAAAGAAATGAAATCGGAGAGTTCGACAGGATTCTCACTGGCGGAACGCGAGATTGTCCTGAAGATCCTGGAAGAATGCTCGGACTCATTGGCCATTTACCAAAACACCCTCAAACAACAAACAGGGGACGCCGTTAACGTTTTTCCTGAAATTGAGTACGTCAAGCGGATATGGTGCAGTAAAATAGGATTATGACAGTCCGCCTTTGTATATCTGTCCGTAGGATTTCGGAAACGTCGATTCTGCAGTCACTTAGCGAAGACGCGGAGATGACGGATTCACGGAGGGAAGCTGCGCGCGAAAAGCTTCGGCGAGACAGGTTGTTCATTGAGGTGCATTTAGCCTGTCTACGTCTAAAAGCATAAAGCCAGCACACTGGCGGTGGTGGATTATGCGCTGGACGTAACGGGGTTTCGAATTACATAATTAGCAAATTAATGTTTGCGATAGTTGAATGTCCAAAAGTATATAAAAAAAAAAAAAAGCAACTAAATCCTTTTTCTAATTTACATCATATTTTGTTTTGCATTAGATTCAAATCACGCGAAAATGTCATAAAATATGTGATAAAAATTGTATCTTTTATTCTCTATGCTTCTATTTTATTGTGTTTATCTCAACTTTCCGCCATCTTATCATTTAAATTTTTATCCACCGTTTACATTTAGAATATAATTATTTTTCTTTTATCAATTTTATTTTGTTCCTGTAATATCATTTAAAATATATACGGATATTTTACGGGTATATCGAGAACATTAGATTACGCTACGCGTCTCTCAAACTTGATTCACTACTGCCAATACGCCAATTACTTAACGTGTAAACTCAACCACGAGTAATCCGTTCACACCGATATTAAAGGGATGCCGATGTTACGTTGCAGTTTATATGTGAGCGCCATAATACAGGAACTGAAGCAGGAAATTAGCGAACACGGAACTATCGAGGTATTAATCAAGGAGATCGAGAGGGTCACGTCGCGGGAGGAGCAGGAGCGTCTTTTAACCGAGGAGAACGGGAGGATGCAGACGATCGTGGCGGAGTTGCGAAAAGCGATCGCCGATAAGAAAACATCGAGCGAGAGGGAGGAGGAACTTTTAACGAGAAAGCTCACTTTGACACGGGTACAAATACAATGTTTCGTAGAGACGGAGAAACGCTTCTATATATAATACATACTTGAGTATCGCGCGTGGGCGCGTAGCGTAACGACGATAGATCATCCGGTTGCACTGTTTAACTATTATTTTGTTGCGTGTATAAGTGAGGCCACGCTAAACGAAACTTGCTGGCGAAATGTTTAGGACGAGAGGGAGAGACTGAAACTAATTAAGGACGTAGAGATGAGATACGTCCGAGCGTGGGAAAAGGCACGTCGCGAACAGAACGTGCTGCGTTGCGAGTCGGAGATGGACAAGTTGGAGAGGACTCGGAATGATTATTACGTGCAGGAGAGAGACGAGAATCGTGTCAATGGCGAATTGACGCGCTATCTGACATGGCGTACGGCGGTGAGTGCAAACTCTTATACAACTTTCTCCCTTTTCCTCCTTAAGATAAATATAAAAAAGTTTTAGATTGCTTGCACTGAGGTGCATTTAAGACTTAAAAGGGTCTATCATTAAAATTAAAAGCGACGTTTAAGCGACATCCTATAAAATCTTTAGCGAAATAGTTTAAAATGTTGCTGAAACAGATTCTTTGAAATTCCATCTCTCTACGATCTCCTTTTTACAGAGTTTGCCGACGTTAATTCGATGTTTTTGTTAAATGTTATATAATTCGTTCGAAATAAATTCTACGAAGATATAAAATAAGTCGCGTTTTTTGCCGAGATAACAAAAATGTTTACTTTGAGTTCAGCTCATCGAGAACAGAATCGAACGGTGGCGGCAAAGGTACGATCGGGAGAGGGAAATGTATGAGAAGGAGATCGGCGAAGTGCGCAATGAGATAGAAGACGCTCGGAAATACTTGGAGGAGCTTACAACGGAGGTAATGATTCGAAAACTGTGCAACGGTACGGGAAATATTTTCATTTCATTCCCGCGGCGCGGAAACGACGTGGCACGGAATAATAATTCAATTTGCATTTCGCCGCTCATTATTTTGACCGCAGCTACTGTGAATCTTAATTGCCGGATAAAGGGGATCCCGACGGGACAACAAGGACAATCACAGCCTTATCTCGCATTCTCTGTGTGACTGTTTGATTCACTCAGTCACATATTGCCGTAAGCCTAATGGCAATCAAGTTTGAATAACTCGCTTTGTGCGAGTTTAAAGGGCACCCCGAAGTTTTGCTGGGCGATCGATAATTCGCATTAAGAACATGTCCACCAGGATTCAGAAATGTTCCGATGATTATTATTAATATTCGAGATCCTTGAATCCAGTTTCCGAGAGTCTTTCGTACATTTTTGGCATTTAAAAAGAGGACTGAACCGTTGATCGAAAGTCTACACATTAATTGCGTAAGACATTTGTAAAGAATGTAGCAGGATTTAAAAATTCAAACCAAAAAATATTCCACATTTTCAATTTAGTTTCACACAAGAAATCAGCTTTGATTGTACTATAATTTTTCTATTAATAATAAATCACTGAATCAGTCGTAACATTTATAATAACTCTAAGAAATATTTTTTTTCTTCAAATCTAGGGTGTTCTAGAAAATATGTAAGTTTAATTCTTTAACTAGAAAAGTAATTGATATTATTCAAACAATAATTAATACCATTTTAAATCCATTCGTATGTAAATGCATATTTCATTTCGTTTCTACCAATAATACACGACTTTCTGCAATCTTTTCCAACAATCAAGTCCCTCCGCTTAATCGCACATCAGTACATAACAGACATTATTGATCCCTTCCTTATTGTCTACAAAGGTGCACGACCGTCGTGCAAAGCCCCGCGAATCCTGTACAAGACATACTTGTTTTCAAGTATTGCGGAATCCGATCAAGTAAATCGGTAAACTCGCGTTGAAACAAGACGTCGGCGTTTGTTACAGTATCGCAGTAATCAGGAATTCATCGACACGTACCTTGCAGAACAAGAGGCGCTCCGACTGCGAAAGGAACACGAGGATCACGTGCAGCGCAGCGCGATCAAAATGCAGGCCTGGTGGCGGGGCGTTATGGTGCGGCGGAAGTTGGGGCCGTACCGACCTGAGGAAAAAAAGAAGAAGCGACCTGCTAAGACGAAGAAATAACTTTTCCGCCAGCTGAATTATGTGACAGCGCACCGCGTCGATTTTAATTTGTATCAACCTTTGACGCACGAGAATTAATCTACCGGCAAATCTAATCGAGGCTACGGCTGGTTAACTGACTTTACGATGCAGTAAGAGTTTTAATTCCAAAGCGCGCGAACATCAACTGACAACGAAGGGAGAACGTCAAAATTACTCATGTTTGTCCAGTCAACTCGCCGTGTTTGACGGGAATCGCAGAAGCGGAGTTTGCGTAGCGATTTCTTTTAAGTTATTTTTCTTTCCTGTAGAGGCAATATTGATTCTACTTATCGAAACTGGATTAGCGATTGAAGTATATTTTCATCTTATTTCGACTCGGCGCAATCTTCAAACTCGATACACGTACAAATAAACATATTGCATCTATTGCGAAATTATGGGAATATACAAAACTAAGCGTGTTGTATAAAAAAAAAATAAACTTCCAAATAATGAAACACGAAAGTAGCGAAACGACGTGATATAACGCGACGTTACGATAGCGAAGCGCAAATTCCGCGAACCGCCGAATGCCAATTCGGTTCCGTGCCCCTTTCGTAACACACATGCACACAAACACATGCATGCATCCACGGCGCGGGTCGAGTATTGTTCACGCAAGAATCTCATTTCCCGTGCAGTACTTCCTGGATCCCGCAGCGCGTTTCTAAAACGCCACATGAAACTCGGCGGTGTAATAATCGACGCGGCACGAACGCAAACGCGCGACATGCACGCGTCTACGCGTAAAGCGTAGTTTACACGATGCTTTTTTTTTCTACGTTATTCATTTGATCTGCCGAAAAACTAACAGCTCTGGCGAAAAAAGATATTTTATGTATACAGAGCCCCCCCCTTCCCCCAGAACGAAAATATTTTCAAACGAAACGCTTCAGTAACATTGTTAAAGTGTTTGTTTATTCTATCACAATTATCAAAATATATATTGAAAGGATATATATTTTGTTAGAGTAACGCTGTAAACAAACGTAAATAAAATAATTTTGGTTTACGCAATGTTTTTCTTTGATACTCGCTATATTGCTTGTGCATTTTTAGAAAAATCGAAGTATCTTTTGAATAGACGTTAATCATTTTCTTCCATATAATTTGATAAGCGTGAAAAAAAGTTTAAAATTACCCGAGATTTGTCTGCTAAAAGCATCTGACTGCAAACCAATACAGCGCTTTTTGCGAGAAGATTAGCCAATGGCACAGCAGTGTGTAGCATCTGGCAAAGCTTGAATATTTTAACTTGACTAAAACTAGCTGGCGATGAAAAAGGCAAACTTGTTTAGCAGCACTCTAAAATACACGATGCTTTTTTAAAGTAATGTATCAGGCCAATAAAAAAAATATATCGTGTGAGCTATGCTTAAGAAACACACGGTTGCATTGCAATTCGCTACAGTGTGCTAATGCCGCTGTAATAGCGCTTAATACCGAAGTGAAAGTCGTAATTTTTGTTTTATTACACCTTTTCATAATGTTTCCGGACGGTTTTCTCGCAGCGCTCACATAAATCCTTCAATCGCGATTGATAATCTGACGGAAAATAAAAATGCACGTAACTGTAGATGTTGAAACTAATGTAATGAAATATTCAAGCGAGACTCTACTTAATATTATTTCAATAAATATACGTATTTCAGATGTATCGACTGAAAAGTCTTCACTCTCCGAAAAGCTAGACAAAAGCGTCTTCATGAATACAAGAAGGTAAAATTACCACTTCATATCGAGTCAACGGAGCGACTTCCTTTTTCATGCGGCAATCTTTTAGCGAGGATGAAAAATCGTCGGTTCGCTTTCAAGCGATTTTTTGGTATGTCTTAAATAAAACATAACACACAAAAGTCGATCGATCTTTGCCCTTTGCCACCGTTCGCGCCATATGCGCGCTCCTGGGCAGTTTCATTTTTATGGAACGGTTTACCGGACAAAGTTCCGCGACGAGAAATACAGAAAAGCGGAAAGAGAAAGAGAAAAAGAGAAGTTTTAATCCGGGGGAAGTTCGAAAATTTAAGTCGACAGGGATGTATGAAGTAAAAGCGGTCGTGAACGTTGTTTCTCCTCATCGCGGGGAAAGCATGGAATTCGCGACACCGTCGTGCATTTTCCCTCGTGAGAAATTCACGAGGCCGGCAACGACCCGCCCGTCCCGGCCCTAATTCCCGTAAAGCGAAAGCATGCAAGCTCGACTTGGCGCGGCGCGATCGCACACGGCCGGGCCACCTCCTTAGATTACGATATAAGGAATGGTTAACGCGATGTGGCGGTGCACGCACGTGATAGCGCGTCCCGCTATATATGCAATTGCCTCGCTGACCCAGCTTTCGCGTACATCGATAAGATGCGCTGAAAATGAGGCTGCACGAGAACCCCGGGACACCTCGCGGATTTCTCAGATTACGACACTGCGAAAAGCCGTCCGAATTTCCGCGAATCGGAAAATTACACGGGTTATCGCGTTACATTGATCCCTTGCGGCCGTGATGCGGAATATCCGCATCATTTATTCGCCAGATATTTCAAACAGACTGAGACCGGCGTCACAAAGATACATGCGGATACGCGAAAACGGACTCTATGCTTATTGTCGCAAAAAGAAACTGCATTGCAAATTATTTCTATACGTTTTCAAAATCCCAAGTTAAACTGACTAAAATAATAATAGTTTTTAAAATTATGAGAGAGTTATACAAGTTAAAATGCTTGTCGCGCAAAATCGTTGTCTCACAAATGTAAAAATATACATATAAATGTATTGAATTTTTTACATTTTTGCTCATTTTATTATTTAGACATTTGCATGATCTATTAGATTAGATATTGCTCAGGCATTCAGGCAATTCTCTGGAACATATGAGAGACTCCGTTCATCAGTGATTGGTAGAACGCGCCGAGCCTTCGATAATCAGACGGAAATACCGGGCTCTGAATGTATTCGCTTGATTAAAGCATATCGACGCATTGCATCGAGCAAATAGACAGGACTTCAGCTTAAGGTGAGGCATCGGCGGAACTTTGCTCCAGAATCAAAAGCTAAATCAATATTCTTTTCTTCATTTGTATCATTGATCATTTCTAAGATTACCTAAATCATTTTTGTAAATTATTCTTCTTTTTAAACGCAAAGTAAATATCTGATAAAAAATTCCTAAATATTTATCACACACATGCAAAATTTTTACTTTTTGAAAATGTGATTTTACACAAACAATTTAAATTGCTATAAAACTGCACATGTGATATATACATTAATATCTTACGAGTAATTATCGAAATCCGTAAAATTTTAAGTTAATCGATTAAAACTTCCGATTTTAGAATTTACACTGATGCCTCGTTTCCGCTATACATATATATCCCAGTTATCTAATTCGCAGCAACGCACCTGCACGTTCTGTTATCAAATCATTGCCGACAAAATTAATTTCAGTAATAAATTTACTTACCTGCTAGATTTATCGTTTACAATGGTCTTTGTTATTTGGACATTTCTAATCTTCAATACCGCTCCATATACATTCACTCGCGCGGATTGTTGCAATTGCGATCGATACTAAATTAATTGTGACTGTGCGTGTCAATTACCGCGATACGATGATAATCGGTCGTTTTGATGCACATACAACGCACTTACAATTCGCGGATATCGCGAAACATGAATAACCGACATCTTACACGGCACTTTTGCAATAAACATTGTGGCGATTTCTTGTTAGAAAAAGTATTATTACGCGCCGACAACTTCGTACAGATACGCAAACCGTAACGCCGCTTTGCGATAAAAAATGTAATAACCAAATCCGAATATATTCGGATATAGTAGAACCGAGGAAGAGCTAACTATTATAATATAATACTCAAATAATACGAAAATTTACTTCGAACTCGACACTTTCGATGCTCGATCACACTTACGATGCTTGATAAACATAGAGACAAATGAAGGTCGTGTTTTTGCTAGCTTGTTTTTTCGACGAACGCGCGCTTGTCGGTTCGAAGCGACGCGATACATAATTACGAATATTAAAGACCGCGATTACATTCATTAATTACTTACGGTTGTCGCATATTACTCGATTCGGCACTCCCGGCACTCGTTCGCGATTGGGATACACTTTCGGTGGGAAAAATTGGCGCGGAACGCGGACTGAACTCACTGTTGCGAAACGATTTCGAAATGTGATCTATACCTTGAAACAAGTTAAACATAGAGCGACAACGACACTGCGTTCGATCGGTAGTTCATTCTCATATAGTTATCGACACATAATTCTTTGTTTTACATTGTCTTGTTTGAAACATACGATTAAATAAAAATTAACTATAAAAATAAAAGTATATCGCAGGCAAATATTATTACGCATTATTTATAATTGATATTGTATAATATTTGATTACTTCTGCATGAGAGCTCGTTCGGTAGACAAGAAATCGGTCCTATCATTTTCCGGATCTTCATCCATTGTTCATTGCCGAATATGTGAGTTAATATCGTTAAAATAATCGAATTAACGTACAATACCGCGATTGGCCACGATAATGTCAATTATGTTAACAGGCCGTAGTCGACAAATCGATATCTATCTGCGGTATAAATGCACCTATGCATACACATACATGCGGCGAATACGTTCTTTGGTCTGTATCGTCCAGGCTGAGCTGTGTTTGTATTGCATAGAGATTTATTGTTGTTGCACCTTGCTGCTCCGTTATCTTCGCGATTCTGGGTCAGTCGCGAGACAAGAACACGATAAATCGAACGTTACTGGAAGCCGGAAAAAGATAAATGGATATGAAACGAGAGAAACTGAGGTAAAAAAGATATCACTAATGACGACCAAATACTTTATGCCAACGTGACGCTTCGCTATGAGAAGAACTTATTTTCTTTTTATGAATTTTTAATCCAATAATCATAAAACAATAATTTTTAATATAATTTTATTTGTATCCCGTTAATAACTCTAATCAAATATTAAAAATTAAATAAATATATTATAAAAATGCTCGCTAGATGGCTATTTCTGGATTATAGTTTTTTTATAATCACATCTAGATATTCATATGTTATGACTATAGAGTGAAGAGAGTTGGCAGCATTTTTGTTGATTTTTTTCACAGTTGTCAACTTGACAGTTCTAAATATCAAGTGTAGATGAGTCGGATAAATACTGTTGCGAGAAAGCATTGTTGATTTCAGTTTGAATTAACAGTCATAGTGCACAAAAATCTAGATGTGATGCTCGGTAAGCTTGGATTCGGAAGTGCAAGCGAGTATTTCTGCCGCCGTGTATCCAGTTGGAAACACGAGCTATCCTGCGTGCGAGATATTCATAACACCGTTGTACATATGGAAAACGTTTTTATCGCCTGAGCCGGACGGTGCTAAGAATGGCGCCAATGCGCCGCCATTTTCACGAAACTTTACCGTGGCCGTAAATCGCGAAGACTGTGACGAGGAAGAATAGCAGCGGACGTCGCGTGCTGATGGAAAGGTCGTCGGAAAAATCGCAAAAAAGGCGAGAATAATGTGCTGGTCGTAAGTACAATCCTCGTTCGATCCGTAATGGTCGACTAGTTTTTTTTTGAGAAGCGAAACGCGGAGCCTATGGCATGGGACTTCCGTTCAATGAAACAGGAACAGGAAGTTCCTCGCGACCCCGAGACAGCGAAATAAAAACATCCTGTAGCGATGCGAGCATTTCGCGAGATAAACATCACACGCACGCGGCATGCCACAGGGCGCGAATCGACCGCATGGAATCTCATGCAATTTTTGTCAGTCGAGCTCTTTATTTTTATGGCCCACTTTCGGATTCCGGTGTCCCAAGGTCGAATGGTAGCGACTAACGCCCGAAAATGAATCGTTTACAGCTGCTTTCAATCGTTCGAAAAAATTTCGTGACGATCACCACTGTTATGGATAATTTGATTTTAGAGTCTGTTTGCACGAAGGGGATTGAGTTCAAGAAGCAAGAATGCAATCTGAAAGCATATGTGCTAATGATATTGAGGGTCTGGATACAGACACTCTTATACCGGTAAGTGTTTCTATCTGACCTGTGCAAAAGTCTATGAAAGGTCTATAAAGCATGTATTATCTAATTTTACAAGAATGCTAAGCTGGAGTTAACCTCTAATGGTTATATGCGACTGTCGTTAGGTGGAACTTTTGGCTTGCGATGTCTCTCCTCACTCGAGACCTCATGATGCCACAACGATAGTAGAGCTTGGTAAGAAGCTTTTACAGTGTGCAAAAAATGGTGAAACTGAGAGTGTACGGGAACTTATGTGTAGAGGCGCACCATTCACCACAGATTGGGTATGTGTTTTAACATTTAAGGAGTATTCATACTTTCTTTATTGAAATTCTGTAGAGATAAATAGAATTGCGTATTTGATTTTTAGCTTGGTACAAGTGCGCTACATTTAGCTGCACAGAACAATCATTTAGAGACTGCTGAAGTCTTACTTAGAGCAGGAATATCAAGAGATGCTAGAACAAAAGTAGATAGAACTCCATTGCATATGGCAGCATATGAGGGACATGATCAAATGGTACAATTGCTGCTTAATTATGGAGCAGATGTCGATAGCAGAGACATGGTATAACCTTAAAATGTGGATTATAGGTTTACTGAATTATAGACTTATGACTTTTTTTTATTAGTATCTAACGCAAGTAATTTTTTCAGCTAAAAATGACTCCATTGCATTGGGCAGTAGAACGTGAACATTTAGCTGTAATGCACATTTTACTGGACTATGGAGCTGACACAAATGCAACTAGCAAATTTGATAAAACTCCAATTAGTCTCGCATTAGAGCATGATAGATTAGATTTGGTAGATATACTACAACAGGAAAGAGATATAACAGGGATTCAAGCCCATCAAGAAGATCAGGTTAATTCTACGGAGTTGGAAGTAGCCACGCAGAATTTAGTGCATTTAGAGACTGAAAGCAATAGTAGAAGTTCGATAATTCAAGAAGAGGAACAGGAAAAGTTTGAAGTAATACAGCAAAAACAACCTCAATCTCGCAAACGCAAGCATTCTCAAGGTAAGCAGTTTCTAAATACAAATCTTGTATTTTTTTTATCATCTATTTTATGCGTTTATGTATAATTTTTAGCACAAGTGGAGAAAAAACAAAAAATGATTTTTCAACGAATCTCTGTATCGCCAAGTCACACAGATGGTGAACAGGATAAAGAAGTTGAGGATGTTGGACTAATTGATACAAATAATATTACAAATAATAAGAAACATAAAAACATTATGTCTATAGGAAGTATCAGTAAACAATTTGGATTATTAGAAGCACATGGAATCACAATGATACCTGTAGATGATGATTCGTCTATTGTAGAAAATGCAATGGAAAGTGGGAGAACAGTAGTTTTAACAGGTGTGCTTTTTTAAATATTTTTAAAAGACTATTAATGTCAAGATGTGTCACTTCTTATGTTAATAATTTATAATTATAGAAGCTGGGAAACTTGCTTTAAATTTGACAAAAGGTTCGCCGATGAAACGTTTGCAAGTTGCTTCACGGAAAGGAACAGGGAGGAAAGTTATAACAATTAGAACAGATCAAATTCAGTCATCCAAGATTCTTAATCCTAATTCTAACACACCTATTACTTCACGGGGTCCAAATATCTTGAGAAGATCTCCTGTAGATAAAACTACAAAGTTATTTGTTACAACAATTCCTAATACTACAACAATATCTACTATCACCGAAATCAAGAATTCTTTTTCATCAAAGGAGGTAAAATTATATTGATATATATTTTCAATATAAAATTAATAATAAACAGACATAAATAAAAATGGAAATATTTTTTTACAATCTAGAGAGTTGCAAATTCTTCAACAAAATTTGCGGAACCAACCATTTTAGAACTAGACGATGAGATAGAAGAAATTATAGAAGAAGATAGCGCAGAGAAAGAGCCAGAGACGGATATAGCGGTACTGAATAGACAATTAGCGGAAGCACGGAGACAAGCTGCAGAGTATCGTAAGCAATTGGAAGAAAAAGAAAAAGAAGCAGAAATTTACAAACAGCAACTTAAAAATATTGCAGCCCAAATAGCATCTAAGTGATTTTTTACAGATTATATTTCATATATAATTTCGCAGCATGCAAATCCGATTGTTTTGATATTAAAAGAACTTTGCAACGTTGTTTGGCACATTTTATCATATTATTGAGATCGTGATACTAATTAAAATTCTCTTTTTGTATCTTAATTTTCCATAAATACGAAACAATCTGGTATTTTTATTATGAATTGTGTTTATCATTTTACAAGCAATAACTTTAAAAAGCTGAAAAATTGACATGCAATAAGCATATAAAAACTGATTCAAAATGAACATTGTTCAGAATGAACAATGTTTATAATAAATTTATTTCTCTTTAGCAGACATGAATTATTCTTTTAATTTTACATTTATATTGTAAAAAACATTAATTACGTAATTGAACAAATAATTCTACAATTCGACATGTGAATGCAGAACATGTAAATGTACGAAATTTTGCTTTCCACATAATGTAGTTAACTTAATCTGTTTATTATCAATCTGCATATATAAAATATATATCATATATATTTTTGTTAAGTAACTAAAAAGTTGGAGGGATTGCTTCATTTAAATTCTTATCCAGAAATAGATAAGTATTCGTTATCTCTCTGTATCGGAAGTTTATATGACTGAATCCAAGCATATCCTAGCTCATTTTGTACAAAGTATAAGTTTTACCTCCTTTTTGTAATAGATATAAATATAAATTAATTTTTTATACATAAAAAGAAAGCTAACTGGCCAATTATTTTTCTTCGATTACTTTTTCGATACTATTTAAAAAAGAACGTTGATTGTGTTGGTTGCTTTCTAATATTCATCCGATATGATAGTCATTTCTGCGTGCAGTATTAGTCATTAAATAGAGGATGCGCGAAAGAGCGCAGCACAAAGATTAATGCCGTTAATGTTTATAAACTATTTACTATGTATTTTATATGCATATTGTACTTTTATATGTATCACAAAATATGCTTCTATGACCGTTGCTAAGAATTGATTACTATAGATACTGAGATAGAGTATAAAATACCCTTGAAATTGTTGAATTTTTGAAATGCGAAGTTTATGTAAATTTCCTGGAGTTACGATTCACATTATTACAGAATTGTATATTGTTGATGCATCGGGCATCCACCAAGAAATGGATTTGCTCGTGCTTGTAAATAGAATATACATAATGTGGAAAGCAAATCGATTTGATCAAGTCTTCAGCGCTATATGATATGCTTAAGATAATTTCGCATAGTCCACTCGACTAGTACACTACGTCGCTTCGCATATTTTAATTTATAATAATGCGGAACTCTTGCATTCCAAGTACTTCTTCAGCGGCTGCTCCATAATTTCGGACAGCTGTCGCGAAAGTGTGTGAAAAAAGGAAAACTAAATATATATAGTCATTATTAGAAAATTCGACCAATGTAATCTAATCTAAAGATACTATCGAACAAATTGCGAAACAATGAGATGAAATAGTGTACAGCAGAGGATGCAGAGGAAAGTAGTTGACCTCAGGTACAAAAAGAAAATGTCTTGTATAAAAGCCCTACGGCAAAAAGTTGTGGAATGCAACGGTCTATACTTAGGATATGACTTTTCTAGCCATGTAATATTGTAAATATAACTTTATACATAAAAGCTAATAAAAGTTGTTAATTACGAGTTAGACAAATTTTATTTAGGAATAAAGGCTACGTGAGGCCAACATCTTGCGCCAGTATCGCGTGTGAAACATCGAATGTAACACTTGGTACAACAGTTTGTTTATAAGACTTAATATAAATAATATGTTGCGTAAGAAATGAGGATTGTGAGATATCGTTATTGTTACATTTTATTTTTGCTTGCGAATGTACGAAGCATCGTGTAAGCTTGAAGGATTATTTTATGTTATGTTGATGGTCTAATAGAGAATTGTGTATTTCGTTGGCTGTATCTGTGTAGGAATGTAGCATTTTCGCAGCCTCCGGCGCGATCGATCGTCGCGTTGCTATGCATTTTCTAAACTTATATGCACTTTTCCTTTCTCCGCCTTCTTCTCTCGAAAGGCGAGAGATATATCGTTGAATTCGGATCTCGATTCCGGAACTTACAGCCACGCGAAAATGATTACATTTATTCGTATCGAAAAATGAACAACGATGTAAAGCATATTTTTGCATGTTACAGCATCGAGAATTTGATTCGCCGAAACGTTTGCAATGATTTTGACGCGATACTGGATGCAGACGCGTTTTCGGTGGTCATTTTCTCGCTTCGGCGTCGGACTTTTCGTCGCGATCGATCGGATCGTCGCGCCCATGGGCGTCCTCGGATAATCCTCAGGGGTGGGCAACGCACGCCGATCGATAAATAACTTAACCCATTGACACACCTATTACGCAGCTCCTTCCGAAAGTCGAAATCCCCGAAAAAAGTCGCAAATCTTTTGCGACAAGCAGACGTCGTCGCGCGAATTCAATCGTTTTCAAGCGCGTTCGATATTTGACGCTGATATTCGGACGCATCTTTTTGACACGGATCGATTGCAAAACTCGACTACTATACACGCTATATTTTGCTGCCTGCTATCTTGCAATATGAATCGAATGTATACGCGAAGAACATTTTTATTAAAAATTGAAATCGATATAATTTTACCGAGTTCGACATTTGAATATAGAGAAAAAAGATGGCTTGTACTCATCATCGCGCGCGAGTCAAAAATGAATATCGTGATCATTTTTACATTTTTGCTTATATTTTACTTCTGGATAAAATTTCGTTCTTGTCTCTCGACCATCGTAGAAACAAAAGGATATTATGTACGATAACGATCGCCATATCAAGGCTCAGACATAATCCGCCAGGCGGATTATAAAGCTTCTGTTTGCGGCTAGCTTATGTTCTTCAGGCATATCGCTGGAAGTCGGCGCCGTACAGGCACAAACTACAGAAGCGAGTATCCGTTGGATACAAATATATCACGCGGGCATTGTACGTTACGTGTACAGCAGGCTGCTTGGTCGCTTGGAAGTCGCGATCACCTTAGGAGTTAAATTTGAAAGAAGCGTAGACTCTCAAGAGCGATCAAGCCTCTATGTTCCCCTCCTTTTTGTCGGCAGGATCGTTTACAAGTTAGACCTTGAGTGCCCCGTAATTATTTTCCTATTCAACCTTGAATGCATGCCTATTTTACTCTAAATATGGAAATTTTCACACTAATCTAGTTAACAGAAACAAATCTGAGATCTGCAATATTTTAACTGCAATTTCAGCATTCAAAAAGAAGTATTCGGATTTTATAGAATAGAATTTTATAGTATGGCGTAGGCGGGAGGCGCTTGACGATCAAGGCACCGTCCTGGGACGTGGTGCTCATGCTCTGTGTGACATCGTGACTGCGCAATACGTCATTGAGCGAGAACATCTTTTAATGGAGCGAATGCGAAACATGCGGTTGATATTTCAGCAAGTTTTCGCGCTCTTTTCGAGCGGTCCTTGTTTTTGACTGCGACACATGAACCGCTCGTGATGACGAAAATAATGTGCCAATATGAGCCGAGTGAATGTCGGCCTCAGGCGTGATTAGAAAGATAATGGTAGAGAAAGAGAGGGAGAGAGATTGAGAGAGATGTGTACTCGTGGACGCGGCTTAAAGACCACAGGTACGATCAGGGTTGAATCTAGTCGAATGAGAATCATCGTCTGTATTGCGATCTAATAATAAACAATTGCGATTGTCAATCATTTAACTTTTCATTCTTGATTTAAACATGTTAGAAATATTCAAAAGTTATTCTGTTTTAATGGCTTTACGAAAGTAGCTAATTTTATTTTAAATATTATTTAATGAATCCTGATATTTTTTATAAAGAAAATATGGAGAAGGCAATAAGTCATTAATTATCCATAATTATAAGAAACAATGAAGAGATGTGGCAAGAATCGATTTTTAACACTTGATAACATCGATGCTGTGAATAATAATAAAATGATATATTCTACAATAAAGAAGTTATATAATCTTGGCAATTTAACAAAATAAATTTGTTTTTTTTTGGATAAATTTCTATTAATTATCCCATCCAAATTTGTTTACGTTGAGAACTTTAATTCGCAATAGCATTAACTTGGCAAGAATTCACAAGCCGCCTGCAAAACACAATCCTGGCGCTAGACTACATCCGTCGATTAGGTTGAGAACCCCTTGCTGATGTTTCCAATCCCGAAGGCGATGTCCAGTGCGCCGTGTTGCGCGACGAGGAAGGGGGCTGCGTTTCGCAGTCGTCGTGGTGGTCGTTTCTGCGCCGCTCGTGTGCACCCGGTGACTCGACGATCGCGGCGTTACACGCACGTTCATCTAGGACGCGCGAGTGTTGCAGCCTGCATAAAACGGAGCGGAATTGTCCCGTGTGCGTCCGCGTGTGTGCGCGATATCCGTCTCGGATCGTGGACTACGTGCGGTATCCTTGACTAACGTCTTCGACGTCGTCGTCGACGTGCGTGCATTCGTGCGCGCGCCCGCGCGCGCTCTCGGCATTGACGGAGCGAGACGTTTGGTGCGCGTGATAGAAAGAGAAAGATAGTGGGAAAAACGGAAGGGCCGAAGAAGAGGGGACGGAGAGGCGAGAGAGAAAGAGACGGAGTGGCCAGTGCTTTAGCGCGCGATGTGTTTTTGTCCGTGATACGTGAAAAGTTGCGTGGTGCGAAAGCAGAAGGGACGCGAGAGAAGGGCAGAAAGATCTAAGAACGACATAAAGAGAGAGCGGAAGAAAAAGAGAGGAAGAGAGACAGCGAAGCGGCGGCGGCGCCGCTTCTTCTCGCTTGTCCGCTCTTGAGAGAGGGCGGAGGAGAGAGTACCTCCGTCTCTCTCTCTGTCTCTCCGAGTGTGTGTTTGTGCTTCTCCCGACCCCCCTCCCCGCGCTCGCGCGCGAGTGGCAGGTAGAGGCGCGCGCGAAGGTACCCGTGCGAGCGAGGGCGCGCACAACGACGAGGTAGAGGAAGACGAAAGTGGCTAGGAAGCGGGAAGCGTCGGCGTCGAGACGCCCGGCGGCCCGACTACCTGCTGGCGGCGCCGGTCCGATTGAACGCGCGCGATTTTCGTCACGTTACGTCGCCGTTGTTGACGCTCGCATTGGGCACCGGTGATCGGCGGGCTGTTCGCGTAGGGGGAAATGGGATGCGCGGCGAGCCGTCGGGCCGCTTAGCGTAGTAGTGTGTATCGCCTTGCCTGACGGCGGTGGCGACGGCGGTGGTAGCGGTGGCGGTGGCGACGGGGCCCAACGGCGAGAAGCGGTCGGAAAAATGGCGTCCGATAACGAAGCCTCTTGCGCGAGTGACCCAAATTTCGCGGTGATCTGCTCGTTTCTCGGCTGCTTCGGCAAGTCCTGCGGCATCATCTACCCGGACATCGCGCGACTCCAGGAAATGCTCGAGAACACGCAGGAAGGTGGGTCTCCGCTATGTTGTCTCTCACTCTCTTTACGCTTGTGTATACGTGCTGTTCTCCCGCGCGCGCGGGAGGGAGGGCAGAAAGACGGTCCGTGTGTATGCGCGCGAGAAGGTGAGATGGAGAGAGATAGAGCGTGCGAGGTGATGGACGAGAGGAAGCGAGAGGGTACGATTGTGACCCGCCCCCGCGGAGGCCAGTCGTCTAAGCGCGTACTATTAGTTTCCTTCGTACGATTCCGCTTCGACTGCGCGAGCCTTCGCTTGTCCGTCCATCCGCTCGTTCCGACGGAACAGAGTTGCCGCTCTCTCGCCTCGGCAGCGGCGCGAATGCGCGACGACGAGCAAGGACAAGCGGACATGGGTACGGCGGTGTGTCTACGCTTTTTGTTTTCATGTGCGTCTGATTTGGCGCGGGATCGGTAGAGCCGTAACCGCAGCCGCGTCCCCATCGCGCGTTCCTTCTCGTCGTTTCCGCGCGTCCTTTCGCACCGAACGCTCCTAACAACACGCTCCTTACGCGAGGCGTTGTTATTGACAGATAGTTTTCACGTTGTTGTTATTCTGCCGTGTGCTGCCACCTTTCATGTTGTCAACTTGTCGGTTACACGTGATTACGAGTTACAAGCGGCACGCTTCGCCGGCCCGCTCCAATTTCGGAGAAATGTCATTGATTGTTGTACACGCGCGACGGGGCTCCTACGCGATACCGAGAATCTACAGACGCGTCAATGAGTGTCTCTTTAATTTTGGAATGTGTGTAAACAGAGCAAACATTTCTTTGTCACGAAGCATTTCCATTCATGTTTCACAGCAGTCTCTGAATCTTTATTTATATTAATGTGTCTACTGTAATTACTGTATATTAATATGTTTAATTATATAAGATTTGTCGCAGAACAATGTTTTTTTATATGTTAACATTGTTTTATCCAAAAGTTAAAGCATTTTTTAACAGGTTTAATATATAAATTATTTTTTATATTGTATCAATAAAGTTTTGCAATTAGGAATCTTTTTCTCTATGCATTTGTTTGCGATTCTTACAAATTGATTGTATACTTTTTCTAGCGTCACAAGAATTAATAGACCTGCACATCAAGTTGCTGCGCAAAACGCGCAAAACTGTGTCACCAGAAAAGTGGGAGCGGGCGCTAGTCAAGTTTTGCCACACGTATTCCAATCAGGATGGATGGGAACTTGAGCGTTTTGGTTACAAAAAAGCCCGTATTGCTGTTAAACTGCGTTTACTTAAAGTATGAGCCATACTTTTCTATTCTATTTTATGCATTATCTTATATTTTTTTTTTATTCATGAGATCAAAGAGTCAGCTATCGGTATATTCTATGAGCAAATTCTTTTTCTATTCTAGGTGCTATTGGAAACACAGTTTGATCAAAATCAAAAGTTTAAGAATGAAGTGAACAAATTGGGAGCTGATGAATTACGTGTGGAACCGTTAGGAAGGGACAAGAGTGGCTTAGCGTATTGGTGTCAGCTGGACGAGGAATGCAACATAAGAGTCTATAGGGAAGATTTAGACGAGGAGAATTGGGAGTTAGTAGCTCAGTAAGTTTCGTTTTTACACGCTAGATAATAATCTGCTGAATTACATATGAATTATGTATTTGTGAAATGATACATACTGTTATTCGTAATAGGGATCGAGAGGGGTGTTGTTAGTCTCATAAACACTTTGTCGAACGGCGAAGTCGGGGCTATACCAATTAACGAGGATAGCAACAGTCTTGAAATCTCCGAGAAACCTATAATAGACACCGGTCAAGTGACGACGTCTCCGAGTCTGGAGGACGAGATTGTGCAAGAGAACGGCGTTCATACGGACGAGATGAACGACAAGCCCTTACCGAACGGTAAGAGCGACGAGTTCGAAGAGGAGCACGATCAGGATCAGGATGATATAAATGAAATTGAAAACGACGAGGAGGAAGATATCGACGGGGAAGAGGAAGATGTGACGAACGACGAAAGCTCGAAGCAGATTACGGAGGAAGACGATTCTCAAGAAATGGTGCGAACTCCGAGTGCAGAATCAAGGTGTACGAACGCTTCGTCCTCATTACAACCGGCTAATCTGGCGCCGGAAACGCCAAATGTAAAAGTGAGCGTGATGCCGGAAGATATGAGTCAGAAAGAGGCTATCGATGAGACGAAGAATAAGCCGGCGATGACGCATAAACCGACGACACTCGCGAGTGTCGCGAAAGTCGAGGTTGAGGAAGCGCCACCGTTAAAATCGATAGAGACGCCCGTCATCACGTCGTCTCCATTGAAACTGGTGAATATCACGGAATTGAAGCACACGACGGAAGAGAAGTTGACGAGCCCGACGACACCCGTCGTCGCGCCGTTAAACACGGTGAAGAAGCACGGTGCTCCCGATGAGAGCACGGTGGATTCCGTCTTGAAACCGCTCGATAAATTACCCGGCAAAAGCAGTCTGCCGTTTGCGCCCGCCGATTCCATTTCCATGGGACATAGCAAGCTATCCGTGAAACCGATAGATCAATTGGCTGCGAATCTCGTGAGGATACAGTCGGAAAAGCTGGAGAAGCCAAGCGGAACAAAGTCACTGGAGAAGATCGCAGAATCCCTGGCGAGGTCCGGCGGTATGCTGATGAACGGAGAGGACGGATTGCCGCAGGACTTCTGCGCGAGGAATCAGTCGGAAAAATCGGCGGGGCTCAGGCAGGGCCACAGAGGCATGGATCTGTCGACATCGCCGCGTGGCTGGGAGAGCGCGAACGAGCAGAACAGACCGGTGGATTTCTCCGGAATCGATCTTTCTAGTCGAAAATCAGGGAAGACGGTGGACTTGCCTTCCCCGGGCTACAGGGCGCAGGAGTTCCAGCACAGAGAGATGGATCTGAGCACGAAGAAGCTGAATAAGCCGGAAGTGCCGAATATACCGTACGATGCGCGGAGCGTGATGATGCGCAATCACGCGATGGTGGCCGATTTGAGTAAACGACAAATGCCGTACAGCGCGTACGAGATGCCGTCGACGCCGTACCACAACGCGGCCAGATTACCAGCCAAGGACGAGCACCGATTGCAGAGCTACGCGATACTTCCCGATCCCAGCAAAATTACGGCTCTCAGGATGAACGCCAATGCGTCGTTGAAACGACCCTTGGAAAGCGACGACGTACAGCCGGAAGTGCTGAAGAGGATAAGGGCGGATGTGATCCCGATCAGAGGCTCTATGGATAAGAGACCGATAATGAGCGGCGGCAATTGGAGGGACGAAGTAGGCGAAGCCATCGAGGAGCCGATGATGATGGTTCAAGGCGAGGGATCCGGCAGCGACTGTGACGCGGTGAATCCCGTCGTAGGAGAGGCTATCGAGGAGCCGACGGCTTTTTTTTACGGCGAGGGTTCCGGCGCGGAATGCGAGACAGGCAATCCCGGCGACGACGCGTCCACTGACAATAAAGAAAGCAACGAATCAAAAACCGAACCTGACTCGGCCACGGCGACGCTGTCGCAGAATAAGGTTTTAACTGAGGACGAGGTTTCCACGGGCTCGATAGTGTCGAACAAAACCCCTGTAAAATTAAATAGGAACTACCCGCAGTCTAATGTAAGCGTAAATGATAATTGTCAAATAATAGATTCTATACAAGAGAAGCCAAAGTTCAAGTCGACATTAGGCGTTCAGATAATACCGAAAAGTACAACTGGCCCCGTGAAGAGGTTGTCCAGGTGGGATGTGGGAAAACCGGAGGAGAAGACAGAATGCGACAGCAGCATCATATCAAAGGAAGGAGACATATCATTGAAGCAAAATACCGACGAACGGAGCGACGATGCGGAGCGGAGGCTACCAAGCACAGACGCGGAATCGTCCAAGGCTGAACGCGAGGATTCCGCCGCTGTCAATCGAGACGTCAAGGTAGACGAGAATTCCGTCGAAGGCAGTGTCAAACCTCAAGTGTCTGATGTAAGTTCGGAGAATACGAGTACGACGAAGGAGGAAAGAGACTCTGAGCCCCAAGAGTCCGTGCAGTGCGATTCGTCCATATCATCGTGTCAGGCGGACATCTCGCAGAAACCTGAATCGTGTACGGATTCTGAACCCACGGTGGTAGACTCGGTCAACGTTTCCGATTCGAATAACGTAGTTTCACGCGATATTTCCGAAACAGTGGATAACGAATGTAAGTCGGTTGCATCGCCGCCGAGATTTTTTTTTGGCCCCAATTGTATCTCGTATACCTCGAAGTCCGATGAATCAGGATCGCAGATCGCGGAGCCGAGTCTCGCCGCATCTGTGCAGGATAAAACGGATATTGTGCAATACGAATGCGTGTCTTCGTCGAAACCGTCGGACGACGCGGCTCTTCCGTGCAAGACGGAGGATTTCGATATTGCGCAAACAAACAACAAACTAAAAACAGATCTGCTTACTTCAGAATCCGACAGCGTTCTATGCGAGAATAACAGCAAGGACGCGGAGAAAACTGAAGGATCAAGTAACACGTGGGATCAACAAATTTCGACTCTCAATAATTCAACAGATCCGAGCGACGCATCCGAACAGACTGTCGCTAATTCTTCCGTCGCGCAAGTTCAAGCGGAGACGAGTGAAGAATTAAGCGTGCAAGAATCTGTTTGCCGTGAAGAAGTAAAAGAAAACAAAGAAGCGGAAGAAGGTGACTGCACAAAATTGCATGAAGATCCTACGTCAGAAACGATAACTGAAAATGAAAGTATTAACAATGTAAATATAGCCGAGGAAGACTCATCTAAAATCAGTTCGGTCGACGAGCCTGGCGTGGTTCAACTGGCGGAACGTGAAATTGTTGAGTCATCGCAGTGCGATCAATCTATTGATTCTGAAAAATCTATGAACACAGAGAATCAAGAAGCTTCTTTCGAAAAGATGGAAACGACGTCGGAACTGCTGGACGATAAGGAAGATAAAGGTGAACAGCCGGCCGATGATGGTAAAATCGAGGAAGACTATCAGTCGGCCAATCCGGATGCCTTCAAGGAAGATCAGGAGAAAACCGAGTCCGTGACAACGGCGCATTCATCTTTATCGCCACTTACACAAAATTCGCAGGCGGAGCTAGCCGATCTCAGGGAATTCGAGGATGCCAACAACTCGAGCGAGCCATTGGATTCCACGAACGCGGCGGGATCTGCGAATTATCAAGAAACCAGCAGGCCGCACAGCAACGATCTCGATTCCGCCGGTGAGAGTTGCGACAAGCAGAGCGACAGGAATGACAACTTCTCCGAAATCGACGGTCAGGAGGATCACTCGACCGACACGGACAACGAGAAGATGAAGGGTTTGGCTGGTTCCGACGCCGACTCGATGTGCGTCAACTACGACAAGAATAGCGAGCGGACCGACGCGCTGTCGGATGTGGTGATGCAGGACGATGGATCGGGCGACTCCGAAGAGATCAAGGAAAAGGAGTTGAACGATGCTCAAATCAACGACGTTGTGTTCGGTATCGATCCCGAAGCGCATCCCCCCGAGAATTCCGTGACGACTAGCTCGGAGTCGACTCGGGAGGACGACAAGCACGATATAGTTCCTATTACAAGCAGTTCGGACGATGCCTGCGCGCAGGATTCTTCGCCTCGAGATACTGAACCTGTGCATATAGATAGTGAGAAAGTAGAAGATGCATCGTTCGTCACCGATAAGCCTTCCACGTCCGACGCTTCGCCAGCGGAGCCCGAAGCGAATATCGAACCGTCGAAATCCGATGTCTACGAGATCGCGGAGGAGACAAACGCCCCCAGCTTGGTTCAATCTACCAGCGAGTTCACCGACGATATTTCTGAAAATTTCAGTTCCTGTGTCGATCAAGATGAAGAGATGGTTATAGACGATCGTGTATCTGAAACTAACGAGCCATCTAAGGAAGCTGAGAAAATCACAACGAATGACGAGCAACAAGAGAACACAGCGTCGGAAACGCGAGTAGAATCCGAAAAGGAAGATTTAGTTCCTGCGAGCGTTGAACAAGAATCTTGTCAGGCTGCGACAGAAGCTGAAATCTCAGAGAAAAAGGAAGAATCTGAGGAGAGAATCGACGAAGAAAGCAAAAACGATAATAATCTTCAAGAAACAATCGAAGACGACAAGACCGAAACTTGTAAGAACGATGAGCAGGACGCGATAATTGCAGAGGATGTCTGTGAAGCCAGCCAAAGTAAAGAACTTCCCGAGAGCGTAGAAAAATCAGAGACAGATACAATAACTGTTCCCGAATCGGAGGTGGATGCGACAATTGTTCCAGAATCTGGAATAGATACGACGACTGTAATTTCTCAGCAATCAGAGACAGATGCGACGACTGTAACTTCTCAGCAATCAGAGACAGATGCGACGACTGTAACTTCTCAGCAATCAGAGACAGATGCGACGACTGTAACTTCTCAGCAATCAGAGACAGATGCGACGACTGTAACTTCTCAGCAATCAGAGACAGATGCGACGACTGTAACTTCTCAGCAATCAGAGATAGATACGACAATTGTAACCGCTCAGCAATCAGAGGCAGATGTCGCAAATGTAGCGCCAGAAAAATCACAAGAAGAGGTAACAAATGGCAAGAAACAATCGTTAGTTGCGAATTATGAAAGCGATTCCAATGACAATGTTAGCGATGACGTTTTCGAGTCTGATGTAGCGCAAACAGTTGATTCTAAGAATGACGTCATCGCCTCGGTAGAGCAAGAAACGAAAGAAAAGCCGCACGTAGAAAAAGTTGCTGAAGAAGCTAAAGCTGAAGAAGCTAAAGTTGAAGAAGCTAAAGCTGAAGAAGCTAAAGCTGAAGAAGCTAAAGCTGAAGAAGCTAAAGCTGAAGAAGCTAAAGCTGAAGAAGTTAAAGCTGAAGAAGCTAAAGCTGAAGAAGCTAAAGCTGAAGAAGCTAAAGCAGAAGAAGCTGAAGCTGAAAGAGAGAAAGAATTATCTGTGACAGAAGACGACGCCAGCAGCAGAAATTTAGTCTCCGATGTGCCTGAGGAACAACCGTCTGCCGAGCAACAGGTAGAGGAACTTCCAGAAACGAAAGTTAACGAAGTATTGGATCAAGATAGCGTGGTCGCAGAGCCAGACGTTAAAATTAGTACGCAGGAGTGCGTTGACGAGACGCAGATCAAATCTGTTTGCAACAACATTGAATATGATTCTAACGAGAAATTACCGACGTCTTTAAGCAAGGACGAAGAATTTCAAGAAGAGACGAATACTATTTCTGCTACTGACAATTCTAAAACGTCGGAAGTGCCGGACGCGACGAAAGTTTTAGCGCCAGTCACAACGGAAGAGCCGAGCAAGAACTTGGAGACGATCGTTAGCCACAGCGAGAAAAATAGAGAGCATTTCAATAATTTGATTGACAATATGAAAACCACGCAGGAGATTCAAAATGCTATCGAAGTGACGGAGAAGACGGATTGTTTAAAATCTGAGAACATTCACGATTTCAGCGTGGACGACGCGAGTAAACTCGCGAAGCCCTCGCTCGACCGAGAAAGTGCCGAATTTAACGCTGTGGACAGTCAAGTGACCGATGTATTTCACGTGAAGGAGCAGCATGTGAAAAGTATGGACGAGAAACTAAACGTCAGTAATTTGGACACCGAGAGCATCGCGAGATTGAAAAATGTAAATGTACACATTAGCGAAGAACTGCCTATTCCGTGCAAACGATTCAAAGAAGACCTCGCCGATTACGATAACAAGGACAATAAATGGGATGTGAAATTGAAAGAAGAATGCTTAAGCGCCAAACCATTCGCGGAAGAAGGGGCGATTTTGCCGCCGATTCAAACGGAATCGAGCGTTATGCCGGCGAAGCTGGATAACGATTTGGCAGCGGACAAATTGCAAGCGTGGAAAACGGACGAGAAGGAAGCTGCTTTAGAAGGGAGCGTGTCCTCCACCGCGTTGTATTTTCCCAATTCGATGCCCGTTCCGAAGATGGAAAATAACTTGGACAGCTGCAACAATCAAAATGAGCCTTTTAGTATAAACTTGAATGTAAATAAAATTACAGAGAACTTAAGTGAAAATCCGCCTTCGAGTATGAGTGACGAGCCGGCGACATCGCCCGCTCAGGAGAGCATGTCGGAAATTGGTGTTGTAAAATCCGATGCGAAGAAGGAAGCCAGCAAGAGGCTGATTGACGCCTTAGACGTAGAAGACGTTCGTCCGCTGAAGAAATCTCCGTGCTTGGAAACAGACGATAAAATTGTAGAAAATTTAGAAAACGTCGCAGCAGAAGCGCCTAAACTTTTAGATACGAGTGAGATTGAGAAAATGGAGCCAAAAGTCGAAGACGAAGCGAAGCCCCCGGCGATCTCCACGACGCCGTTGTTTTCCAATAATTTTGGCACAGTTAACGATTCCGCGGCCGCCACACCGACGGAGGATCCGAAGAAGATTGATTTAGAAGCCGCGGACAGGAAAGAATCTTCGGAAATCGAGAATGTCGAGACGAAATCCACAGCTTCCGACGACTCGATGGGCGTGGACAATGATGAGAGCGTGTTCGACGTACCGCCGGAGGAGGCTGATCCTTTGGCGTGCACCGACGACGACGCTTTGAAGAACATCGCCGAAGACGGTTCCGACAAGATAAGCATTCGCGTGAAGCCGGTAGCCGAAATAGTTTACGAGGGCTGGAAACTGGACAGCACTACGGAGACGCCGAAAATTTCGCGAAAGCGCCGGAGTAGCGCGCAGCCTCGCGCAGAGTCGAATTCCGAGGACGGGGCTGCGAAGCAAGAGGCGGAGGAGATGATGGGTGGCAAGAGGATGAAATTGCGCGCAAAACGCATGCCGACGCATGCCAAGGAGCTGCGGAAGTCCATCGAGGAAAGTCGCGAGATGGCGGTGAGCTCCGAGGACGAGGCCGTGAAGTGCGACGCGGATAATGTAGCGGAACACGCGATTAAAGACGGCAGCGATGACCCGAATGCGGCGCAATCTATGGCGATCGACAAGAAGATCAGAGGTCGTCCCAGAGGTAGACGAAGGCGTGGTTATCGCGGCGGTGGGCGTCCTAGTCGGCCGAAACTCGCGGGATTCCACGATCAAGGATCGGAAGTATCGCCCGGTGTCCTTCCCGACGGCACTCCGAATGACGCTTTGAGTTCGTCGGCGCAGAAGAAGCGGAAAAAGCGTGAGTATACGTAAAGAAAGGCGTGCAATAATAATCATTCATCACGCGTGAAAACCCGTTGACTGAGAATTTTCATTTTTATAGGAAAAATGGTTTTGGGCTTGGAAATAGGCAGAGATATTTCTCTGGAATCGGAAACGCCCGCGGCGCAGGATGAAACGCCTGTCAGACAATCAAGGAGGATAGCGCAATTGAAAATTAAGGAACAAGCAGACAGACGCAGAATCGAGGAGGAAAGCATGCGTGAGGTGGAGGAGAAAAAAGAATCGGAAAAGAAGAAGAGGAAGAAGCAAAAGGTAAGCATTCATGTTAAATGCATGAAGGATTATAGCTATGGATTGCATAAGTGATCGTTTATATTGTGTTGTAGCCGGAAAGCGAGGAGGAGGAAATTATCATAAAGGAAATTGAGAAAGAGAAGAAATCGAAAAAGAAACGTCGAAAGAGAAAGAAGAAAAAGATGTTGGCTAAATTCAACGAGTCGAACCCGTGGCAGAGTTCGTCCGGGTCCAGCAGCGACGAAGACAATGAAAATGAAGACGAGGATGAGGAAGACGAGGACATGGAGAGCGAAGGATCCTTGCTGTTTAAAAGCGATCACGAGTTTTCTCCGGAGAGCGATCTCGAGAAGGATCAGGAGTCCGAACCGTTAAGACGCGCTCGAACGGCGCAAAAAGGTGAGTTTTCTGTTAACGGAGGAATGCGGTGCAAATTTTATCTAACTTGTGTAACATTTAAATGTAATTCCACTGCGTTGATTTTTCAGCTCAAAGTGACGTTGAAGAAGCTGAGGATGAATATGCTTGTCAAAAGTGTGGGAAAGCTGATCATCCCGAATGGATTTTATTGTGCGACTCTTGCGACAAGGGATGGCACTGCTCGTGTCTCAGGCCGGCTCTTATGCTTATACCTGAAGGCGATTGGTTCTGCCCACCGTGCCAGCATGTAATTATTCTGAAAATCCTTCACACGTATATTTAGTATTTTCTATTTGTCGCATTACGTAAATGTATACCTACGCACGAAATCAATTTTTCAGAATCTGCTGGTGAATAAACTACGGGATACTTTGAAAACATTCGATCAGTTGACAAAGAGACACGAGAATGAAGTGCTGCGGAAGAAACGATTGGCCTTTGTCGGCATCAGTTTGGATAACGTGCTTCATAAAGGCGAGGGGCAGCGCGGATCGAAAGCGTCCAGTCAAGAATCAGATAACGGTGAATAATCGGTGTTTTATGTAACGATTACTTGGGATTCTTTTAAGCAACATTGCGTGGAATTAATTAGTTAACAATCGTGTTTTAGTATCATTACTATTATACGAATCTTTAATCTGTTTCTACAGAATCCTCTGACTCCTCTTCGTCGGCCTCCAGTTCTGAAACATCGAGCAGCGAGGAAAGCGAACCGGTTTATCAACTGCGCGAACGTCGCTGCGCCAACACCTACAAATTTAACGAATACGATGACATGATTAACGCCGCGATTCAGGATGAAGTTGAAGCGGTTCAAGGTGCCGGAAATCAAGGAAGGGGCAAGGATATCGCAACGATAGTTAATGCGGAGAAGGAAGAGGCTGAGGTAAAATACAAACATATATAAACATGATAATATAATGCCAAATATAAAGGTAGGAAACACAGGATAAAAATAAAGAAGCACTATAATTATTGAATCGACTGTCCTTCGATCGTCGCTTATGAATTGTTTGCTTTTTTTTTCAACTTTTTGTTAGTTTCTAGTTTTGCTATCTCATCGCGATTCTTATTTAATCTCTAAATAAAGTTGTGTATATCGATTTGTGTTCGTGTACGTAATACGCTCGTTTACAGAAATGATATTTTTTTTTGTAGGCGGAAGCATTAAAAATGACGCAATTAGAAGAAGACAAGGACGATGTGGAATCAAAACCAGAGAAAGAAAGTGATGAAGAATTTAAGATTGAAAACGAGGATGTGATGGATGAAATGGAAGAGGAGCAAAATACAGTTGCTAGGAAATTGTTGGCACGTAAGAAACACCGAAAGCTAAACAGTCTTGATATAAGCAGTGAAGACGATCCGGACAGTGACGAAGATTTCAAAGGTACGAGTTCCGACGACGAGGAGGACTTTGACGATCACATTACATCGTCTGATGATAGCACCTTTGCTGATGTAAAACGACGCGGTAGGAAGGGCGATTCACGTCCCGTTAGAAGATCTACTAGAGCGCGTATGACGAGAGCTTACGATGAAGATTTTAGTAAGTTATGAAACAAAGAAAAGACATTATCTGTATTATTTTTTAATATTAATGTTTTATAACATTTGCCAAATATAAATTTTACTGAAATATTCGTTTAAAAATATTTATAGATATTAAATTCTTTAATGAATTTTATTATTTAATTTATGCATAATAAATAAATTAACAAGATTATTACATAAAATTAATTTTTTAAATCTGTAATTACATTTAATTTGCTTCACTTATAATTTTATTAATAAGGTATCTGATTCTAATTTTTAAGTAAGATTAAAAGTAAGTCTAAATAAACGTTTCTTTTTAGTTAATGACGATAGCGATGAGAGTGATCGGCCAAAGAGAAAGAAATCGCGATCGTGGGGAGACTCGGATAGCGAAGACAGTGATAACTCGTGGAGGCAACGAAAGAAAAAGTGAGAAATGCATAAGATTAAAAATAATGTATTAAAAATAAGAAATATATTTGAAACATTATTTTTAAAATTATTGCAGGAGTAGGACAATACCAACGTCCAGAGTTAGGACAATGCCGAAAACGAAGGGCAAGAAGAAGAAGAAGAGAAAACGTATAATTGAATCCGACAATCAGAGCGAGAACGATGAAGAAGATGAGCCGAAAATCGAGGAGCAATGCGAACCCAACTTGCAGGGCGTGGATACTTCCGGACTGAATGAAACGCTGGACGTTGACAAACAAGAAAATTTTGAAAATAACACAACCGAAAATAATGTCGAGGTAAAAGATGAAAGATTGCCGGAAGTAGCCTCAGAAGTTCCGATTCCTCAGATTCCACAGCAACCACAAGAACTGTTGCCGATTCAGAAAATCAAAAAGGTAAATTTATTATACCAAGCTTTTTACACACACACACACGCACAAAATTCTTCTAATGTTACACAATTCACATGGGGTGATCAAAATTTTTATGTTGTCTTAAAAGCTCTAAAAAAATGTTCAATAAATGTAATGTATTTATATCTTACCATGTTATAAATATTATTTTTAAATATGTTTTGTTAAAATCGTATATTTTAATTTATCTCGCGAAAAAACTTGTGTCAATTTTACACCCCATGTTGTGGCTTGTTTTTCTTTTGCCTCGAAACGAAGCGATAATTGAGTGCGGAAAATAACCAATTGAAAGGGAGTTAAGTCAAATTATGAAGTATCAAAATAAACAAAGTCATGGCTTGTTGACGAAGTTATTTCATGCAAGGCCTTTGCCGGCATCTCTCGCTTGGTTTCTAACGTAGATATGATTTAGGAGTCAGCCTATTTCGGCCGATAACTGCTGGCTTACACGTACATAACAGAGGTCGTTAAAGTATTAAGTAAGAAAATATAAAATTAATTACTGCAGTATGCATGAATTAATATCAAATATAATTCTTTTAGGATATTGTGCCTAAGCCGAAGAAAGCTATGAGACGAAAGGTAAGTTTATTTTTATTAAATTGTATATATATATATATATATACAAATGTGTTTTTAAATAACGATAATTTGATTGAATTTGGTTCTTTAAAGATTATTTACGGCGGTCTTCCCGATGAGAACCGTCAAGAGGAGGAAGAAATATTAGGTAGGAGAACTCGAGGACGCAAGATCAATTATCGAGAGGAAATGGCATCTGATAGCGAAGAGGTGAGTGACTCTTTAATTTAAAGAAAGAATTTTTTAATTAAACAATTTAAACTTCTTTAAATAATTTAACGAAATTATATCACGTCTTAAGATTCGAATTGTCCCTCAGGAATTAAAAAAAGCGCTAATGATGAGAAAGGCTGGCGAAAGCGAAGATGAATTTGTAGTGAATGAAGCCGACGATATGAATGACGACGGTGATAAGGATTCTGATTCAGGTATGTAGCAATGGCTTGTAATTCTCAAAGAATTTGTGCACAAAGCGAATTAGTAAATCTAGTAAATCAAATAAAAAGAGGCAATTTCCTTAAAATAAATAAAAATTAAATAAAATTAAATTTTGAAAATAATTTCTTTTAACAAAAATTAATAATAATACTAAGGCTTCAGTAAATTAACAAATAATCTTGGGAGAAAAAGGCAAAAAGAGTCGCTGCTAGGTGTTCGTGCAAAAATTAAATTATATCATAAAAATTACAAAGACAAACGTTTCTGCCTATGTTAGGCCTTCCTCGGTGTCGTTGCAAGTAAAAATCCTAATAAACGGTATCACAAGTGTCGAAGCGTTTAGCAAACAAATAAGACGAAATACGCAAAGTATTCTTTATGACAAATAATTTCCATATAGAAAGATTGATAATTGGCACTGCAACAATATTATCCGTATATAATAACGATTTTGTTTTATAAAATACAAAAAACTGTGATACATACTTGTTATTAAAAGCCGAAACTATATGTCCAATAAAGAACTGGAAGAGTCAGAGACCAGCATTATCCATCAAAATGCCTTCAAAATTTCTCGTCACAGATTAGATTCTATTCATGAATTTGATTGGAATAACATTCAGATATTAGACGAAGAACCTTCTTATATGAAAAGACTAACTTCAGAGATGCTTTTCATCAGAAGACAAAAAGAAGGCTTAAATAGACAGAGCGATGCGGATTCTTAACCTGAAGCTTATCGACAAGTTTTAAACTTATTTCCATCAATATGATGCTATGTTCTTTTCTCTCCCTCCTTATTTCCCCCTTTTTTCCTCTCCTTCTCTCTTATTACTAAAACCCCCTCTTTGTTTCACATCAGGTACTCTCACAGTCCTTAACTATAATTTTTCTGATTATTATTATTTTAACCATCATTAACTTAGTTTAACTTTGTATTCAGTTTTAATCGTGGACTCTTCGGTTTTTTAAATAATTTCTCCATGAATTTTGAAGGCCATTTTGATGGATAATGCTGGTCTCTGACTTCCAGTTCTTTATTGGACATAAAGTTTCAGCTTTTAATAACAAGTATGTATCACAATTTTTTGTATTTTATAAAAGAAAATCGTTATTATATACACAATATTGTTGCAGTGTCAATTATCAATCTTTCTATATGGAAATTATTTGTCACGAAGAATACCTTGCGTATTTCGTCTTATTTGTTTGCTAAACGCTTCGACACTTGTGATGCCGTTTATTATAATTTTTACTTGCAACGACACTGAGGAAAGTTTAACATAGGCAGAAACGTTTGTGTTTGTAATTTTAAAAAATATAATTTAATTTTTGCACGAACCTAGCAACTTTTTGCCTTTTTCTCTCAAGATTATTTGTTAATTTCTTTTAAAAACAAGATTTCAAACAAAATTTTATTCTCTGTTAAGATTTATTTTTATCTTGTTTTTTTTTTTACAAGAAATTCTTAATTATTGTGATTTTTTAAACACTACATTATACGCGAATATAAATAATGATTATTCAACATTAATCGTATGTTATGCAGGAGATGTCTATATTCCCAAGAAGGATGCGCTGAAGTTTAAAAACAAGTCACCGAAAGCAAAGAAGCCGCGCAATGGCTCTGCGGGGAAACGCAAATCGTTATCGGACGACACACCGAAGCAAAGAAAGAAACCAGGACCGAAACCGGGAAGTAAGAACAAAGCGCGTAAGCAGAAGCTGCAAGATGATGATGATATGCTCGGTATGGACCATCCTATTGGCGATTTAGCATCTAAAATGGACGAAAGTCTTCCGGACAACGTTGGATTGACGGGCACGACGATGTCGGTTGCGAGTTCATTCACCGGAGATGTTCCCGAAGGTTCGTTAACGGGACTCGGTGCCGGGGAATTAGCCGATTTGGACGATGAGCAGCTGGAGCAGATGATGATGGACGAGGAGTATGGACGACGGCAGCTCGAGCTCGCGGCGATCGAGATAGCGAAGAAAAAGAAGAAGGAAGAACGGGAGGCCAAGAAATTGGAAAAAGCGCGTTTGAAGGCTTTAGAAATTCTGGCGGCGGAGAGACAGAGGGATCCGAACGCGCCTGAGGGGACGGATGGTGAGGTGCCCAAGAAGAAGAAACGCGGACGGCGCAGCAAGGCCGAGATACTCGCCGAGCAGATGCGCAGGGACGGTGCGCCGAATCTAAGCATCGCGTCACCGACTGTTATCGGCAGCGTCGGCATGCCGGACGGCGCCGGTAACATGTCGCACAACATGAATCCCGCTGCCTTATCGACGAGTCTGACACCGGAAACGGATCGGGGCGAAGGGGGTCACATGCCTCTCATGACAGGACCGGACGGACAGCTTTTCAATCCCGATGGCACCCCGGTGAGACCGAAGCGACGGGGTCGTGGCAAGGGCAAGAAGACACTCGCATTGGAAGCGGCTAGAGCGGCGGAGGCAGCGGCTAAGGCTGCGGCCGAGGTCGGCCTGATGGCTGGCATGGGCACGGATTCCAATCCGGAGATGAAGAACGACCTCCCGAACGTTCTTCCCACGCCAGGAAGCAGCACGTCCGGCTCAGCGCCCTCCACACCACCGGCAAGCGCCGTCCCGACGCCGGGTCCGCCATCGACACAGTCGCCGAACGCAGTTTATCCGACGCTACCACCCGGTCAACAGTCTTCCGTCATCACGAGGATGCTGCAGTCGCAACCTGTATCCAGCAGTCCGCAATCGTTCACCGCGGCGGCAGCCGCGATGGGTCACAAGTACTTCGGCGGACCCAACGTCGGCGGACAGATGATAGGTGGTCCGCGAACGGGTTACGAGATGCAGCCGCGCGCCAGGATTCCATCACCGTACAGGCAGGCGGGCCAGTCGTCCATGCCGCATTTCGCTGCGGTCAGATCGGGCACACCGCCAATGCGGATGCGAGTACCTGGTCCGCAAATGTACCACACGCCGCACCATCCAATGGACCCGTCGCCATCGGGCGGCGGACCGATCTCCATCAATAATAGGGATCGCAGTTCGCCCCTGACGCCCGGCGGACCGGCGATGATTCCACCGTCGGCCGGTAGTCCACTGGCCAAGGGCGGTCCGACACCGCCACCTCCACCATACGTGCGCGGTGGTCCGCCGATGGCTAGATTCGCCGAAAATCCTATGGGACCCAGGCACCAGATGCCGCCATTCACCAACGCCTCGCCTGTCAACCACAGCATGCAGCAGCCTTCACCGCCTCCTAATCGACAGCCCGGCAACTTCTCGCCGTATCATCCGCCTCCGCCACCCAACTATCACTACGGTGCCTATACAGCGCCCCCGCCGATGTCTACGGCGGACGACGCAGCCGCTTACCAGGGCTCGCCGTATCCCCTCGGAGCACTTCCTCCCTCCCCCGGGCGGATACCTCAGCCGCCGATTCAAGGTCCACCGCCGCCTCAGGGTCCACCGCAACAGTCGCATCCGGGCGACGAAGAGGGCACCGGTGAATTCGGCGGGCTGGTATCTTACTTCAGCAGCCAGAGGGAGGACGATCTTGATTCGTAGCATGAGTGAGAGCTTGGCCAACCCTGAAACGTTAGGTAGGGGGGGAAACGTGCTCAGGTAAGATCGCAACTTTTGCTACGGAGGGACATCGGTTATGCAAAAGCAACATGCAAGATAAGTTTGGGAGATTCGACTTTTCGAAGACATTGTATGTGCGAGCCTGCGTCACGAGAGATAGAACCTAGAGTCTTCCTCTTCGACCTCTAAAGCAAATAGTTGTCTTGTAGTTCTTGCACACTTCTTATGACGAAGAACGCTGGTGGCAAATCCATGGTTGGCCAAGTATAGAGCGAGCACAGAGAGATAAATCTGAGAGCGACGGGACGGAGCCTATTTTCTAAGAGTTGTAAGTTTTTCTGTAATTAGCTTATAACTCGATGAATGAATGTAATCAATAATACTACGGCAGAATTGCTTTTCGGACGGCGAGATGAAAGATTTGATTAGAAACCGTTTTTCGCCATTATTTGTTACTGCAATTCGCCAATCGAACAATTACGTTCAAAAATTTTTATACACAAAACTAAAATAAAGTTAAATTTGTCTTGCAACATGTGTTCTGGAAATGAACATGGAAGAACATGCAATTACAGAACAAATATTTTACTTGCTTTAAAGTTTTTTGAAAGTAATATTGATTGGCGAGTTGTATAATAAACAGTGATAAAAAAATGATCTTTCACTTCACCGTTTCCCAAAACGGATATGACCGCTGTGTTACAGTTGTTTTTCAAAAGTAAGTAGCATAGTTATTATTATTAAATTCATTCACCGAACTGAAAGCTGGTGACTGGCGGAATGGTTTGGGACGGCGCACCGTTGTTAACGTGTATATATGTAAATATCGTAAGTCTTTTAGATTATATTACATGTATTATATATAAACACACACAAGAGACAGGAAATTGTGCAGAATATTATAAAAGTGAACTAGTGCGCAACGGGCACAAATGTAATATTTAAATTTAATCCAAAAAAAAAATGGCATTTGAGTATAATAAATTAACAAAAGGTGTGAAGACTATTACTATAATTATTTATAAAGAAAAAGATTAAGAATTTATGATAGACAGTATATTGTATTTTACAAATTTTACTTGATAATTCTATGAGAAACCATTAAATATAGTTATATTAGAGAACAGGAGGCTGCTCTCCAAGTGTATCTTACGCGAAGAAAAAGCAAAACGAAGAAAAGAGACTTTGGCAAAACTAGCGGTGGTGTAATTGATGCATAAATGCAGATGTAAATTCTATTAATTGATTGATGTCTAATTATTTATATAATTTTTAATACGCGTATCTATATGATTTCAACTTTTTCAGACATGTGCAAAGCATGATATGCTTTACGCAATAAAAAATTTGCCTGCAAAATTCAAAGACAGATAGACATGCGTGTATAAAAATATATTAATAATGACACGCCAAGTTAATAGAATTCCAAGTCCACTGTACTTCATGCATCATTAATTATACTGACACTTCGAACAGCCAAAGTTCCTTTTCTTTGTTTTGTATGCATCTAATTATAAAGAAACGTGAATGTGCACGGATGATGTTAGCGATTTAGATAAGTTTGAAATTCGTCTAAGTTGTCTACAGTGCGCGACTTGAAGAACATTGTCTCGCTCGGACTTTCTAACTGGAGTTTCTTCCTGCACTTCCAATTTAATCGGTCGATATTTGTCCTTGTTTATCCGCGTCAAGCGCTGAATGTGACTATCTGCATATCGAGCTAATCGAAAATCATATTTATTGCAGCAGGTATGAGAGACAAGGATAGAATAATCAGTCAGCACAAATGTTTGAGGACGTCTCGAAGACAACTGTGAGAAAATTTTTGAAGATTGATTTGGATTAATCAACGTCAGCGCATCGATTCTTATTGCACAACCGGATTCTATTCTGTTCTGATTTGAAAAGGAAGAAGGCGTAACTAGTGAAATTTTTTCCATGCAAGTAGATATCCTTTGGACATTCATGTTACACGAGTGATCGCATTTAGCGCTAGAATGTGCGGTAGATTGATCGATGAAGCAACACGGAGTCCAGGAAGGAAATCAATTCGGAGTTACATACCGAATGGACACAAGTCGCCCTCGCGATTGAAAGCATTGTGTTTTACCGAATATTAGTTATCGCGCTTTTTTTCGGATCTCAATGATCGCGACAGCCTCCTGCTCTTTGAAGTTAAGACGAGGCCGCTAGTGGCCACGCGTATGCTGCGATGAAAGAAAATAAATCATATATCTGTTTAGTTATCACACGTACGTGCATACCTAATATAAATAGAAGCTATATGAATAAACAAGAAAAAAAGATATTATCTTAGGATTAGCTTGCTTGGGAGAGTTTCCTTTACTACGTTGACCGTTTTATGAACCGAATCGAACGGTTATACATACACACATATACACACACACACACGTATAGAAACACACGTAAACATAAATTACACGCCGTATAATGTAATAGAGGGGTTTACTACCAACTAATTTTATTATTTTTACACCTATTACGATGTATATCGATTGTACGCAGTTCGATGTACAATCACTATCGTCTTCTTCTTTAGACACAGCATGTCTTTGGGGCTCACCGGTCTTCAAGCTGCGTCTCGAGGATATAACTTTAGTACGATATCGGTTACTGCTATCTTTTCTTTCTTTAGCGTGCAATCGGCAGATCGATTATCGTGCGATCTCATATATTGACGATGATTTGTACTATTTCTTTCTATATTTAATAGATAACGAGCTCGCGCGATCGTGGTGTCAGTAGATTTGATGTTAGAAACGATTAATATCATAGACCGATTAAAATAATGTTATTCGAAAATATTTGAAGCTGAATAGTCGCTCGCTCTTGTGCGAACTTGAAAAATTAATCTGAAAATTGTGAAAATGGAGCTTCTATTAATTTCTGACAAAGAGAAATAAGTTTGACAATCAGTTTGATTTGTTCTTTGGTGTTGTTCTCCAAGCAATATTTTTCAGCGATTTAAAATGCGTTTAAGTGTAGAATACCTAAAGGTATTTTATAATTTATTAATGGTATATATACTGGCACATATCTGCATCTCAAATTACTGACAATATTGCTTCAAGATACAAAAGACTATTCGTCACACTAATTGTTAGACGTATTTCTTTAAAAAATTGAGTAAATTAATAAAAGTTTTATAACTTTTAGATTTTCTTTCAGAATTGTGAAATATCTATCATTTTAGTTCCATGTATATTCATATCAGTTCCGCATGTTGAATATACTTTTTGATAAACAAAATTCAGATTTTTTGCGTACAGAAATGTATGTGTTTAGTGAAATATTCATGTAATGATCGTCAATTGTGAAAAATTTATTTTGTGCGCGATATAAGCACAAGTTTTCTTTACATTTACATACGTGGAATCTTGTAACATTTATATATATTGCTCTTTATTTCTGTTGCTCTGGATTTTTCCTCGAGGTGTAAATTGAGAAAGTGACTCGTTAAGACAATAGTAAACGTGCAGTTTAGCTTTTTTTTTTTTTTGATAAGGGTCTAGACCAAACGCAATTATATTACATGTTGTAGCCTAAATACAAACATTTTGTAATAAAATTCAATATATTGAAATAACATAGTCTAACTTTTATTTTTCTTCCCCTCCTTTTCTCACCTCTTTGTACAGAATTGTAATACATGGATTCAGTTTTTTACAAAAAATATTTTCTAAATATATTTAAAAAAAGGTACGAATTTTAATATTTTAATACTAAATACTAAAATGTAAAGTATCATATAAATGTTTAAAATTCAGCAAGAATCATTAAAGCGTAATTCAGCAATTATTAAAATTTCATATTTTATTGTTATATTTAATATTTATATTTATTATTGTTAAATGTAGCATTTTGTTCTCGTTCAAATGATTTGAATGGCAGGTAGAATTATTCAGTCAATAGTTGCACCATTTTTTACGTAGCCACAGTGACATATATTATATGTATAATATAACATACATATATATATATAATAAATATAAGAAAACGTCTAAAGACATCCTAAAAACATATTAAAAAAGACATCTTTAAGACGTCCTAAAAACGTCCTAAAAAGACGTTTTTTAATTTTTTAACTATTAATATTCTAAATTTTGCAACAAAAAACTTTCCAAAAATTTTAAAAGAGACGTTTTAATTATTTAAGTATTTTACATCCTAACATCGACAAAAGTAGCGCAGAAGCGAAAATAAGCATGTAGAAAAATTCAAATTACGGCCAATGGAACGGCCAGACACCTCCATTTTAGCCGGAATTGGAAAATGGTTAATAGAAGCACATAATGATATAGGAGCTCGTTCATAACAGCACAGTCGGTACACTTACCATCAATGCATTCATCAAGTCGCTCAAGGCAATCAATAGATGGCACTGTTATTATTAATGAGCTCCTGTTGCATCATGTGCTCCTGTTAACAATTTTTCAATTCCGGCTAAAATTAAGCGTTGCTGACCATTAAGAAAGGAGACAGAAATAGTATGTCTGTTCTTTTCTAATGTTCGAACTTGCCGAAGCGCGGAGCTGCTTGTTGCTTGCGTCTGAAATCTGGCGTCACTGTATGTAGCCATAATATTTGCTGAGGGCATTACGAGTTTTTTGTAAATGTATGCAAAGTTTTCGTATATATTATTAGAGTTTGATATTTCGTTGGTGTATACTTATCATTAATAATGTTCCTCGTTGTTTACAAATAAGATTAATGGTTATAGAAGTTTATTCCCCGTTGAAATGGAAAGTTCCAATCCTTCGACAGTGGTGAAAGATACAGGTATTCTATAATTCGTAAACGTAGCGTATGTTTATAACATAATGTTGCTAATACGTTTAATATTAAAACTATCCTTGTGTATAGTGTAGTTGAGAACATAATGAGCAATGAAACTGTTCTCGCTGAAAAGGCAAATGGAGATTGTGATGTTGATGTAGAGGTTGAAGCAGAAGACGATAATATACAATATCATTTATATGCAGTAAACAGAGGTGACAGTACAATGATGTATAAAGTATTGCAAGTCAACGACGACAACAGAGTGAACAATGAGTTTTCGATAGCTACTCCTGTGAATAATACCGTTCAAGTTTTGACTTCTCCATTAAATGGACAGTTGTATCTGCTTAGCAATAATAGCAACATTGTAGCATCAGCAGACTCTGCGAGAGCAGTTGCGCCTCGTGTAGCTAAATTGCAGATAGAAGGATCGCCGAATATCGTCACAAGTGTGAAAAAGGTAAATTATTTGATATTATTGTTGTGTCTTATATATTATTACTAGAGAATTGAAATTGTATTGTATTCAGAGGGACGAGAGACGGAGGGTCACGCACAATGAAGTTGAGAGACGCAGAAGGGATAAGATCAACAATTGGATTTCCAAACTGGGAAAGCTTCTGGCAGAGTGTGATCAAGATGTGAACAAGGAAGGAGAAGCAAAAGCGAATTTTGAATCACAAGTATGATATTTGTGAATTACTAAGTTGCTGTTTATGTTTTAGTAATCCTTTTTCGTGTTAGAATACAATTTTTATATTGATTTTAATCATGACACGTAATTTATTTTTAGAGCAAAGGGGGTATACTAGCACGAGCTTGTGAGTACATTACAGAATTGAGAGAGACTCAGGAAAAACTAGTTGAGAGTTTGGACGAAAAGGCGCAGTTGATGGAAGAAGCTAAGAATCTCCGACAAGTCGTAAATCAATTAAGGGACGAAAATTCAAAGCTGAAGGACCAAATTGAAAAAAGGAATGTATTTATGATCAGTACTTAGGCCTTTGTAGGAGTTGACAAGTTGACATTAGACAAATTGAAATCTTTCTACGAATGGTACCTTGCATTATTAATAAATATATATATATATATATGTATATCTTTTTTTATCGATTACTAAAGAATCGTCAATAAAGGAGTAACAAGATATAATAGTTATAAAATGTTTATTTACATATGTGTAACTCAGCACATATACTTCTATATATATATGCTCGTATCTGGAAAACAATGACAATTATATAACGTTCTACTGTACATATTGTAAACAATATAATTATTTATAACACGAACAATCGATCTCGCAATGATAATTCATCGTCAAAATCATTAAATTAGAGAGATATACAAATATACAAAACGATATCATCGTTTAATCAATAACTAACCATACGCAAACATCAGATATATTGCTTAACAGTAGAATTCACTTAATTACTACAATGTGTTGAAATTGTATTTTCTAACGAGTAGGTGTCTACGGTATTTACACTTAAAAAATACACCTATGTATGTATGTACAGAAAACATACCGATACATGCGGTATCCTGCGCCTCTCGGATTATTAGCGTCGCGAGATCTCGCTACGGAAAGAATGAGCTCCGCTCTCTTCTCATCGGCAAAGCGCACACGGTTATCGATATCAAATTTCGGGGAAAACATAACGTGTGTAAACGCGTTACGTGTACGTAACAACTTAAATTATCATAACAGTAACGCTTAGTAATACTTATTGCTTTGAAGCGCATTCCGAGTTTTGTGTAGATTCTGTGTCCCGACGGTTTTTATTTCATTTTTTTTTTATGTTTTTGAAAGTAACAATTTCCAGGGAGGATAGAGAGGGTATCCTCCGTGGTGCAAATCAATCAGCACGTCGGTTGTGTAAGATATGTAATTCACTTGCCAATATATGTATCTTATATTGGAATCGGTGAGTGCGAGGTACAAACTTTCACGGATTTCGATTACTTCTTCATCATCGTGAGAGTGTAAGTACAGTTCGTGAATATGGAAAGTATGCTTAATTATGCATTACACAGTATCGTGGCTGGTGGCGGCACGAACGAGCACCTCTAACAATCGTTCGGAAGACGCTCTTCGAACATCCCGGTGGGACGCTTTCCGGACCGCTCCGCGCCGCCCCAGATTATCCTTGCTTACTTAGCCTTAACGACGTCTGCTTCTTATATTTACGTTGGCCATTAAAGCAGTCCATGTATAAGAGCGATATAAGAAAAATCACATTCGAACCAATGAGTCGTCTCTCCTATAAAAATAACTCTGAAATGAGTTGGGTCCAGCAACAAATTGCATCTCTCCTAAATCTAAACATCAACAGGCTAATGATCTCTCTCTCTCTGTACAGTAGGAATCTTGATCCATTCTTTTATCGTTATATTGTCCTCGTCGTATATAAATTACGCTGTCGGGAAATAAGTAAAAATATACCTTTCTGTCTGTGCATCGTACAAAAACGCAAATACCTCCTCGCTCAGAACGCTACGCTCCTAGACGCAAATGTTAAAAAGACAGACAAAAACGTCGCGCTTGTCCCTCGTACAGAGAGCCGGGAGCACCGATCTCTCCTTTTTTTTTTTTTTTTCTATTAAAGAGTCAAATGATAATAATGACGAACGAAGACGTATTTCCTTTAAACTTATTGGCAGTGTTGGAAACTTTCAGGGTCCGTAATTAAGACTGCAAGATCGAACATTTCGCCAAGGGACCGCGTATAGATAATATGCACGTATATCATTGTAACACAAAGATTCTTCTGTTGACTGACTGATTTTCTCTTCCTGTCGTGTGCTAAATTCTTGTGTAACTTCCTATACAAGAGTAGAAAACTGCAAAGATCCTCTCGATCACTTCTTCTTCTTCTTTCTTTATCTTCCCTCTTTTTTTTTCGTTTCTTTAGAAGCTAGCCGCTTCGTCAGATAAAGAGGCGTGATATGCGAATATTTACATATCTCGTGTCATTTAATCATTTATCTGCGTGGTCAATCTGTCATTATTTTCATGGAAACATAAATCTCCTTTTCTTCCATCCTTGTTTCCCTCGCCATCCTATCTTTTCGCCCGTCGCAACTCCGTACAAACTACTATGAGTATTACGATTACAATGCGAAATAACGAACATTAGTTAGGCAGTAAAAGTTACCTTGTATAGTTCGCTGAAGATTTCCTCTACGAAATATACCTACGTTTTTCGTTGAGAGAAAAGTGGTGTGCGGAATCGGGCGATCAAAATTTGCCGCGAGACTTAATCAACGTGGACTTTGCGATCGAACTTGTTGACACTTGCGCGAAACAGTGCGCAATACTACGATTAAAATCACGCTTATTCTCGTTGTATTCTCGATACGTAAAACTGAGAAAGTTCTCAAAACGATTTTAACAGAGTTTATCACGAAGGAAGCGAAGTTTAATCCCATAAAAAGTTTCCTAATCGATCCCGTCTCGCATTTCTCTCTCAAGATTACAACCGGTTTCCGAGGACGCATCTCGGTTGTCAGTCTTTCGATTATCATAAAAAATGTACAGCCGTGTGTGTGTCACGTACCCATCCAGCTGCTCGACCCAAAAAAGCGATTGCGCGTATAACAATACATACATATATCGCGTTTCATCGCGGCGCTTATCATGAATTCGCGATGAAGAGTGACTAGTACTTTCTCTTTAGTACTTCAGAAGCCCACTATTGACTTTATACATTTACTATCTACTTTTCTAGATGTCTCTATTTCGCTAATCTATTCTCATGTCTATTTATTATTGATAATCTAACGCTAAATATCTACAAGATCGATTATACTCCCCCCCTCCCCCCCTCTCGGCTTGTAATACTCTGCTTCTTTTTTTTTCTCCGAAACATTTTGTGGACGGTGGTCCTCCAACTGAACGCCGAAACCGTCACGTCGGAAATAAAACGATGTCAAAGGTGATAAAACGTCGCTTTGAAATCCGACAATTGGAGGATCGCCGATTCGACGGTTTATAAAGCCAGTGAAATTTACATAAACTCACACAAACTGGATGCATACAGATTTATGTGGATTCACGAAGCCCGATTTAAATTAGACGCAGCGAGCGACTTTCATCGATTTATCGTATCTGCATTTTAAGCACACGACGTCTAATCGACGATGACGATGTCGGTTTTCGCGAGAGAGGTAGTGAATGAAGAGTTGGAAGTTTCTCCTTGCTTTCGGATCGCCGCGTGACTCTCTACAAGCGAAACGCAATGATCGGCTAATAGAATCGATACTTTTCCTATCTAAGAAAAGATATACTTTTGCAAGACAATATCCGCTTCAATTGTACAAATACCTTCGTGCCGTACATGTGACGAGGCGCTGTTCATCCGCTGCGAGATCCTAGCTAAGCGGATCGATCGATGATCCACGAAAAATAATAAATCTGATCGATAAGCGCTGCAGTGAGTTGATTAAATACCGATTAAATACCGATTAAATACTGATGGTGGCAAAGGCTCGCACGAAAGGCTTTTTAAGTTTCGAAGCAACCGATAACAAAATGTCTCGCGCCAGAATATTGACAGGACAATACAGCGCCGTTAGCCGCAGCTTTACAGGTCAATATACGGCACGAAGGTAGGCCTGTCTCAGGACGGTTGAAGCCGTGTGCTTTTCTTGCTGCTACCGAACGTGAACCACGTCCCGACTTTCCGCCCCAGCGAGTTGGTGGTGCCCTGTCCGATCATCGTCGGCATCTCATACGACTCCCTCTTGTACGTTTTGTCTACGGCATCGTTAAATTAACACACAATTAAAATAAATTATTATCAGATTATATTAATTAGTAATCAAATAATGCAAATTATTCAGAGCAAAGAAAAATCGGACTCTACGGAATTTTTGAAAACGCATAGATTCACATCAGCAAACTTACTGCGTGGCTTGATCGGCGGCCTGTTTTGCTGCCTGCTGGCGGCAAGCCTGGCGAGATGTCTAGCTGCCGCCGGAAATTCTAATCCGTCATTCCTATCTTTAGCCACGAGTCTTCGTTCCTCGGCCATCGCCGCCAGCCATCGGCGCTTCTCCTCTGCTGTGCGACAGCAGAAGAGCAGCCATTTATCTCGCACGCAACTGTACACCTTCAGACAATGTCTTACCGTCACCCCTGATTGAAGATCTATAGACAAGGTTGATTATTATGCGATGTGATATAACATACAGCTATATAAATTTCTGGATATTATTTCAAAACCTCACCTTTTCCGTCGGGCACGTCGATGACCTCGCTGGTGTCGAGGTAGATGCGACCTTTGTAGACGTAAGTGTTGCGTTTGAGGATGTCCTTCTTGCAGTAAACCAACTGATGATCGAAGAGGAATAATATGATGTTGTTCGTCCACATGCCGGTCTTCACTCTCATTGCTTCACCGTGATAAATCAGTTGCGACGAAACTTCTATGAGATCTTCACCCTGCAATCGATATCGAGTATCGTGTTGTTAACGTCATCAAAACGACTTGGAACGCGGCAAGATTTTCAAAGGACAATTTTGTCTACGATTTCAACGCACCTCCCAGCCTTCCACGCGCAGTTGCCACGCGGCCAACTTCTCCAAACTCTCCATCCGCCTCTTTCTCTCATTGATCAGTACAGCGACGTCCCTCATCGCCCCCAGGGCCTCTTGAATCTTGTGATAATCCGGATGATCGGTTTTCGTGTACTTCAGCAGCTCCGCCAATTGAAGAGGGTATTTGCAAATACGCTGAACGGGCGTCAACAGATATCCGTCCAAGGGGATCTCTATGAGGCCTCTCATCAGCCGACAGGCCTCGAAAAACTTGCTGTAACGGTTATGCTGGTAGAGCTCCTGCAGCATCGCCGTGGCCATCGGATGGCTGTTGCAGTATTCCGAATACATGCGGAAACCCGCCCTCTGAAAGGATCAATAAAACACTGTTGTTATTCGCTTTGCTTCAAATTCATCCGAACAAATATGTGAAATAATACACAAAATTATTCTCAACTGCTCGCTTGAATTTTTTCACCAATTCTAAGAAAATAAGATCTTTAAAATTTAAGAAACGATTTGCCGTAGTATCGATTTGCCGAAGATGAAGGCACAAGGTAAATTCGATAACGTCACTAACATTATTGAGAAAGCATTCGCCGACGCAGCTTTTGTGCGGCGCGCTCCAGTCGATGCGAGTCTCGAGGTCCTTCAGGAATTCAGATTGGAACTCCAGGAGATCCTCGAGATTGATGAAGATTGTCTCGATCTGGTCCTCGGTGAACATGTCCGTGCGCCTGCGACATTCCGCGATGTAGCCCTCGGCCACGTCGCGCAGGATCTTCACGAAATCGCGCTCGGTTTGGACGAGTTCACGGACCACGCTGGTCCTCACTTGCTCGTTCGAGAGCAGGGAAATGCTAGTCCGTCTTCTCAGCTGCGCGCCCGAGGCTGCTCCGGCAGCCATCGCGGCCAGGCAATCCTCCACGGTATCCTCTTGACTCACCCGCAACTGCGAACGCGTTTATTATATTGATAAATATTTCATTAATAAAAGCATTGTTTATTGCGCGCTTACAATTGTAGTTAACAAAGTTTGTGGGATGCTTCAACTTTTTCTGGCTTTTTTATTTTCACTATTGCAATATTTAATTTAATCGTAAATAAAAGATTAAATATAAATGGATCGGACAAGCATAAATAACTATAAAATAAAAAAGGAAAAAATTGAGATGGACAATATTATTGATTCAAGATTATTTCAGAAATAAGAAAAAGATATGCATAATTGGCTAAACGCAGTAAGGATATTCACCCTCACAAAAGCGGCCGGAAACCATCCGTGTTCCCCCCTGCAGCTGCCCCACCACCAATCCTTATCTAGCGTATCGAGAACATCGATCACGTCCCCGGCGCGAAAAGCCAGCTCCTCCGGCTCCATCGCTACATGGTCCCAAACAGCCTCGGCCAAGATGACGACTTCTTCGTCCATCGCCTGCTCGAATGATTTCTTCTTGTCCGTCAAGGAAGCGATCGACGATTCGGAGTCGGACATCATTTCGTCGTCAGATGTGCCGGCTCTGCCATCCTGCTCGTCCTCGGATAGCACATTGCCACCGGGTAATCTCGCGCCTATTTTTAGAAGGACATCGTATTGTAGTCAAGATAAGAAAAAAAAGTATCGGCTCAAGCGTAACATTCAAATCGTCGTCGGTTAAATTAAATTCTCAAACTAAACACGAATTAAAAAAAGAAAAAAATAGGAAATTAATCTTTGCACATGTAACTTTGCTACGCTTTTGAAAAGTCTGTATTGCAGAAGATATTAAAAACATAAGCAGAGAATCGAGTGGCTTAAAAAATATATGTATATATATATATTTTTTTTTCCCCACTGAATTCTTTTGCGAAAACATCGTCGGAGCGACGATCGATAAATAATTGATTCGTAGCGCAGAAAATATCCCACAACGTATAAACGATATTTCGCTGCATAAGTCGCTCGCCGGCATTCCTCCGGAAGTTATTGCGACAAGCACAGTTCACCCCCGGGCGAAAACCTTCCATCGCTTGCAGCTTTCGGCATGGGGAGCGGGAAAAGAAACAGTCTTCATGAGATTTCTCAGGAGATAGTAACCGAGTTCGCCGGAGTACCTCCTAAAAATTCAGTTAACCGCGAGCGCGCAAATAGATCGCACCCACGGGGGAGTTGCATCTCCATCCTTTTCCCGCTCTCTTTCGAGGGGCGAGAACGCGCGGAGCGAGAGAGCGACTTTACGAGGTTCTCCGGCGTACTCGCTCTTTACTACTTGCTTACAAAACAAAAGCGTTTCCACACGTAGCAACGTTTGTTACAGAGGGGGGGTCGGGCGAGAATCACGATTATTACAGAGGTGTCCCATTCCTTACTCTCTCGCAGTTTATTTCTTTTTTCTCTCTCTTTTTACGAGGGGTGCATTCGGTGACAACATGATGTGAGTGTCTCAACAAATGCCTTTACGGGGATGCATGCTGAATGCTCTTCAGGGTGATCTCTAGAGAGAAACCGGAGGTCTCTGGAGTACACTGTGCACTAGACGTAATCAAAGATTTTTCTACTGGTGTGTAAAATCTACCCAGCCGCGGAGCAAATGCGTTTCAACATCGGTCTCTTCGACGACGTCGGTCGCCGCGTAAAACCATTTGTCCTTTTCAAAATAATCGACAGAAATTCGAACGAATCTACAGTTGTATTTCACTTAATAATCTTTGCAATCCAAAGATCTAATTGATTCACGTGAGAAGGAAATAATATTTCAAACGGCGCGCTGACTCAATGAACAGCGAATGATGTTTAGAAACGTGCGACCTCGTGTTTCGCCGGGCGCGATAAGAGAAACGGTTTACGCATGTGCTCGGTAGACGAGACAAAGAGGAACGTGATCTACGTCAGAGCTCGAAGTCTATCTTAAGAGGAAACGGCGATAGTAATACGATGGGAGTGCTCACCTGCGGTTTTCGTGCGCATCAGCGGCGAGAGCTGGTTGATTCCCAGTGGCTGGCTAAGCGAGCGCCTCAAATTTGTCCGAGAACTCCTCCCTTTCGCGTTACTGGAGCGCGGGAAAAAGAAAAGGGGAAACATTAGTTGGACATTGATTCGTCCGCGTACCGCGTTAACGTGCGGCATCGAGCGAGAGGATCAACAAAAGCGTGTACTCAGGTATTAAAGCGTATATCGGTACAACATTCAGCAACGTATTACAATAGGCAGTAATATGTATATAGATAATATGTATAGTACAACACGGACAAGAGGTATGTATACGTATGTATACGCGTGGCAGACCAACTTTTTACTGGAGGAAAGATTAAGAGAAGGTGGTTTGTTATAATACCCTTCTACCTACCACTAGTCTCCCTCGATTTACTGGAAAGGTCCGAGAACAAAGAATTTTAAGTTTTCCCAGGTTGTCACTTGTTTTTCGGGGGTGTTTTTTTTTTTTGTTGATACGAGATGTGGATCGCGATATATATATGTGTCGCGTATGTGAGAGGAAGTCAAGATTGTTACTGATTTGAAAATAAAGAAGCAGCGAGCGCATCAGGCTACAAAAGGTTCGGCCGTGCGGCTAAAGAGAGCGGAGTTAACAAGCGTTCGATATGTCTCTTTATTATTTTTCTTTTCTTTTTCTTTTCTTTGCTCCTTTATCGCCTCCTCATTGCGACACAGCTAGCTTTTCGCACTCGCAGTGAAAGCTCGTGCTCGTCTCGATTCCGGAAACCCAAGAAAACGTTGTTTTGGACCCCGAGCGTGTCTCACGATTAAATCATTTCTTTGCGTGTGTAAAAGGAAAAAGTACATGTGAAAACTTAAAAAGATGTTTTTATATTGAATTTGTGATATTTGGAAGAATTTTATGCATGATAAAACGTCTAAGAAATGATAATACATGGTTTTCAATCATAGTTTTCGTAAATTTTGTAATTTTCAAGTGGAATACATTAAAAAAGTGACTTCAAAAGTAATAAGAAAAATTTTGAAAGTTTGATTAATCTTCTTTTTTTTTCAAGTTTTCGTTAAAAAATCGCTTTAATAGCTCCAGTATCTTATAGCTCCAAGCTCCCTTGCAAGCGAATCTATTTTTCTCGTTACAGAATTTCAAATGAAGTCATTAAGCTTGTTGCTCTGTCAGCTCGAAGGCCAAGACGCAACGATTGCCTGGGTTTCCCCCAGCCTTCGTAAGAGGCCGAGGTGGTTTGCAGATGACGATGATTTAATGAGGCGTACGCGATAAGGGTTGCTCGCAACAACTGAACGCGTTTGCGGCGATTAAACGCACCTTCTCAGCGTAACGATATCATGGGAGGAATGCCTCGGGCTGAGCCTGGGCGGCCTCGTCTTGATCGGCGACGGGGTCGACAGCATCCTGCGATAATTGTGAACGTATCCCGACCGGGTGTCCCATTGCAGCAGCCTCTGGCCGCCTAAGTCACTGTTCGTGCGACGGACGTGATTATGCCGCGATGCGCGGCTCTGCAAATCCGCCTGGAACAAGTCGTCCGGATTCTGTGAGCGAACGATTGACGATTAATTCGCGCGACCGGTCATCGACACCGGTCAATTCTGTGGGGACGGAACGCGCGGACTAAGCGATTTCTGTACAATCTCCGCGACAGTCAGCGAATTAATATCGCTACGTGCGCTATCAGCGAAGTGGAAAATAACGAGGGATCCTATCGAAAAGTTCAGCACGCGTTATGTAAGTATGAGGTACGCCAGATGCGTCGGATGTACTTTTATCTAGTTTTTATCCGGGCACGGTGAGTTTTCAAACTATTGGATATTCAATAAAATTACTTTAAAACATCAGTTCCCAGCTTCGCGGAGTAAACTTCTGTGTAATTTTTAGTCAAAATAAGAATATTTTATGTACAATGCGCGAGTTTAAATAAAAATAAGAGTTACTTGAAAGTGTTCACGAGTTGATGATACTTTACTTTTCCTTCTCCATCATGTGCAGACATTGCTCGCGAAAAAAAATGGTCTTTTGTGAATAATTGATTGATAACGCGTACAGTACGTACGTAATAACTCGAGCGCGCATAAAATCAAGTAATTTCAAACAATTAGAAGAACAAACATAACAGGTTCTCTCGTGAATTAAACTCGTGAATTAAACGATCACGCGGGCTTTTCCGTGCTGACTAACGAGGAGAGCGGTTTCCTGTTCTGTTATCCTGGCGCTTGTGATATAAAAACGGATATCGCGCGAACGGCGCGAGCGAATCTCTCTCCACGAGTAAAACCGTGCACAAAAGTGACTAATGCTGGCTATCGAGCGAGAGGAAACAATTATAACTCGATAAAACACGGCGATTATCACGTTACTATTAATGATTAATGTCGAGTTATCGCTCGCGCCCGAGAGAAGGAGGACAGATGTAAAAATAAAATGCCGGGTTGCGACCGATTTGGAAAAGGACTGCGATAAAAATATATTTGAGGTTTCGCACCAAGATTTCTCCGGTCGCGCATTTGTAGAAACGTTCGTTGCCACTTCGATTCGGACGCGAAACGAATAATAAAATCAAATCCCGCAACTTCACGTATTGAATTGCAGCGGAAAACACTCGATATCAATGCTTGCGTTAATAAATTTAGCTTGCGTCAATGAATTTTATTATATCGCAATGGAATTTTACTATATCGCAAATTGATATGTATTTATACCGTAATTGTATTTATATGCGATTGAGGGGGAAGCGTGTCGTACCGCGCCACAGTGTGAGAAGGGCAATGAATACGCTTACCTTGAATTTGTCAATCAGTATTTGGTTGATGAGCTCGGACTGGGGCCGCGATTTATCGGTGACTCGCCTGCGAAGGGCCGGAGGGCTGTCGGTGTCGTCGGGCACGTCATCTGTATCATGGGACTCGGAGCTGTCACCGCCTCCCATCACTCCGCCGCCGCTGCCCCCAGTCAACGCTCCACCAGATACCATCTACGTCATTACGTGCGAAATGTGAGGGATATTTATCTCCTTCGCGTGCGCCGGCTCTTCCGTTGTCGGGTCGAACAGCACGGACGTCTCGAAGCGACGTCGTGCCGAATCAACTCGGACAACGTGTAAGAAACGTTTGAGAGATTAAGACGTCTTTTTCGGAGATGTCCCGGATACCTCTTGCTCGCCGAAAAATCGTCTTAATCCTTCAGACGTCGATCGACGAGCGTCTCTTGAACTCTCGCGTCGTTCGCCGTAGAACGTGAGAAATCGCGTCTTTTCTCACCTCGATTTGTATACCGCTGTCTCCGCTGTTGCACTTGGCGTTTCGAGCGGCTTTGTTGCCCTTTTTCCTCTCCTTGCTGCTTCTCCAGACGAGCGGGCCGAATCTAAATGTGTATTCGATTAAATTGCGATTGAGTTTCTCTTTTCAAAGCAAATTGTTATTACGGGACTGTATAGCGTGCCCGTAATGCTGCTTGCGCCAAACGCGAAATTTAATTTCGATACTTTAATTCGGATTTCAATAGAATCGATATAATTCTAAAATCCGATGCTGGATATTATTGAATAAAGAATTCTCTCCAATAAAATGTAAAATACATTTTAGAGAGAAGAGGAATATATTAACGGTCTCCATCGCCGTCATTTGCGATTAAAATTAAAATTGACAGTTCTGAGATATTCCGTATTAACATCGGCTTGGAAATAAGATGGAAATTATAAAATTCAAATTTATATTCAAATATAAAATTGAAAATCTAGAACTGTCTTCCCGATAGAGATTGTTCGGAATAAAGTGAATACAATTCTGTTGCTTTTTTTATGATAATGACGCATCAGGATCAACCCTTTGTGGCCTCGCAACGCGGAGAAATTCCCTTCACCTGCCGGAAATTATCCACGGCTCTAGGCGGCCGATATCTTCGGGATCTAAATTTAAAATCGCGCCCCGGATCGGAGAAAGCAAAGGGCGCGGGTTACGAACCGGAATTTCTGGTCATTGCTGGAGTCGTCTTTGTGATGGTTGCTTTGCTCGGAGATGGTTGCAGGAGGCGTTTCCCTGCCCTCCTCGTCGTCCAACGGCCCCGAGCCGTCGTTGTCCTCCGCGGGACATTCCTCGTTACTCTCCTTGCTGCCCTTCTTGTGGAACCTCAGCGAGAAGCTCTTACGGAATTTCTGCAGCACGCTCTCTTGCTGGCTCTGCGCGCGATGCGCAGAATTCTGACTTCCGCCGGTGGGCACATTGGCGACATTCAGGACGGAAGACGGCTCCTGCAGCCTGGAATGGCTGACCAGAGGAATCGTGGCCTCGGTCAGGGGATGCTCGGTCGTCACGTGACGGCCCACCCTCGTTCCCTCGTCCTCTTCGTCGCCGGACCAATGTCGGCTGCAAGCACAGAGTACGACGTTTCCCTTTTATTTATCTCCCGGCGAAATACGGCAAATGAGAATCGACGGAAATTCAACTTTTTCAGCAGCAAAAAATTTCTACCTTTTCGTATCAGGAATTGGTTCTCGAATTATTAACTATCTTCCAACGTTCCCGTCTATCCTCATCGATTCGCTTTAATCCTCATAAAAGTCATCGGAAATTAGGGAAGGATAAATCCTTTACCGCGGATTAAAATACGGAGCGTTCGGAATTAAAGCGGATCTAAAGCGGATCCGACGAATTATAGACTTGATCCACTCCAGTCCGGAATGTGTCATATGAAGCCGAAGTAAATATCCTTCCACTCAAAATAAATATCCTTCGGTATGCAGTTACACAGAAAACGATACTCGTGAACTTTTATATCGTAAAAAATATTTTTCTTCCATCACAAAAATGTTTACATCGTTATAAAAAATAAAAAATGTCCGATTCCGAAGACCAAATGTCGAACATCACAGGAGTGAATTTCCGTCGATTCGTCTCATTTCACACATCTATCGTTCACAGCTTGACCGACCGATCTCCAAAGAAAATTGACAGGAGACAACTTCCTCGCGAGTCACTCTTCATGCTCTGCCGCAAGCCGAAGTGGTTCGCATAAAAATTCAGCGTCGTTTTTCACCGCAAGGAGAACGTGAGGAAGACGCGGGAGCGATAAATTACGGACGTGCTCGGCCCGAAAGTGCATAGCGAGTGAGCGCGCGACCGCCGGCTGACAAAGCGACTATCCGAAGCTAAATAGCGGAAGAGAGCGCGTCGGTGTTCGCGAAAGAGGAAACCGCCGTCGAAAATATTTCGCAAACGTTTCGCGAACGATGTTGCGTCGGCATTTTGCGAATTCATCGGCGTGGCCGATTCCACGCTGAGACGCTCCCGTTCGCTTCCCGACAAGTGCACGGATTATCTTATCCTTGCGCTAAATGTATAAATATATCCTGGTAATGTGATCATCCACCGTGGTGTGTTTTGGCGCAATTAGTGTAGTTGCGCAAACATACTTGTTTATGATAGGTCGCGAGGAAATGTTTAATGATGTTAATTGGGCACCTCGCGATTGTTAGCCGCGAGGGAAATATTTTCACTGTGTTATGTAGGTGTTTTAATAATCATTGCCAGAGGCGTAATTGAGGTTGGTCGCTATTAATATCGCGATGTTAATGAGATACTGTTAATGAGTCATTATATAGATCGTTTATGAATCATTATATAGAAACACAAATCCCCAATTTTCATTTTAATGACCGTCTAAGAAGAGTTATTGCCGGATTCTTATTAGAGGATTTTCGCTGTGAAATTAAGATTAATATATATAAATTCTGCCAAACGTTTCAGGTAAATTCAGAAGATATAAAAATCTTTTAAGCTTCATCGGTCAATATATTTTTAATAAAAATTATATATTTAATTAAAAAAATTTTGAGAATTGCATATTTTTGTAAAATTAAGTTTTAAATAAAAATGTCCTAAAATAAAATACATTTAAAATTAACTAGAAAATATAATTGTGAAAATATAATTTATAAATATTATTTATTTTTTCTATTAAAGCTTAGTTAATTTTTATTCTATTTATTTGTTATATGAACTTTATTCAATTACTAATTACGCAAAAATTATAAATATTTTCGTTAAAGAAATATTCTATATGCAAAAAATCTACAGTAAAAAGAACATTTAATTATTTTTTAAGTGTTTTGCGATGTGTCTAGATAACTTGGGAGTTGTAAATCGTGTAAATAATCCCCCGTAAAGATCTAAATACTTTTTAGATGAGCATTCATGTGTCACAAACAATGGGCATATAATCGTCTGAGTAAGCTTAATCGGAATCACGCACCACATCATAAAGGATATTTGTCACAGACGAGTGCTCTTCCTTCGTGCCAATCCTTTATCCTTCCTTGTCTACGAGCGTAATCCCTCGCACGCAAAACCGCATTCTGTAATCTCACATGTCACCTTCTCTACCGCACTACTGTCACGAATCGCGTCACGTCAAACCGTGAAAACCGTTTCGATATCAATTATGTTTCCAAAGCGCAACCTCAACAATATCGAGCGAGCGTGCGATTAAATCATTTACTGCACAGCACCACAAAATCAAAATAAAATTCACTCATGTTCAAATGAAGTTCACTCGTGACAATTTCGTCTCTTTCGCGATCGGAAAAAAAAAATTTTTGCGTTGAAAGCAATGAAAATAATTGAAAATAAACTGTTTGATGGATTTTTTCGAACCAAGCACAGTCGCGCGAGAAAAGTATCGTAAAAGTTTCGTAAAAAGAAGCATCTGGCAACCGCTTGAAACCGAGACGGGAAGTGCAGCGGCCGACGTTCCACCGGCGACTGAGCTCTCGGAGAGTGCGTGCGGACGATACTATGCACACGATCCGTGAATCCTTGAAGGAACAGATTTCGGGAGGCAGCATCGTATCGGGTCGCGTCAGGTACAAGGCGAGGGTTGCGTGGCGTATTTTTACGCCGCGCGCTCTTTTCTTCCTCTCCGTCCCTCTTTCAACGGCCACCACACAAGGCATCATTTATCCGTGTAGTGACAGGGGTTTTAGCCTTCGTTTTTCTCTCAATCGGCAGGGCGCCAACCTGCTTTCGGAGCACGCTTTGATGTCTAGATGTACAGACGCGTAGTTTGTTAATTTCTGTGAGGTCTGAGGAAAATTTGGAAAATCGGCCCGACGGTAAATATTTCGGCACACTTTGACATTTCATTCTAATTCTGATATTATCCACCTCGCTCACGTACAGAATCGATTTCACGGGAAATAGAAAAGGATAACGAGACAGTTATGTACACAGGTAGGTTTTGCCAGAATACCTCACGAAATTGATTAAACGCTTCAAACAGTTCACATGATTTTTTAATATAATAGAAAAGGTGAAACCAGAACACAGTAGACGTGTCACGAATTTTTCCAGCTCTCATATATCAATACGAAATAATTTCAAGGATAGATTCTTAATTTTTAAGCTTTTTAACATTTTTTTCACGATCTTAATCAGAATCGTTGAAATCTATCTTTCGAAAAAGGCTCTTATCTCGTATATATTTCTCTTAGCAATGCATTTAATATTAAAATACTGAAATAAACCAGAGAGTGTGGTTTCACTCGTCTCGAGTGTAATCTGAGCATACTTTGTTAGGTAGCGTTACGATGTCAGGAGTAACACGGAGTTAATCAACGTCGTCACGACAGCGGAAGATTACGAAGGGCGCGGAAGCAGTCGTTCAGGGTTCTGTTCGCCTTATCAAAGCGGATGGCGTTCCTTCTTAGCGGCAAAGTGGAAGCTACACCTCTTCAACGAAGGGGAAGAAGCAGCGGCAGATAAAAAGCTGAGGAAGAGCGTTTTCTATACAGTTCAGTAATTAGAACATCCGGCGGTCACGCGTATGTGTACGTGTGTGTGGACGCGGAGTCAATGCACCCCAGGTAGGTCATCCGAAATAACGTTCTTACTCGCGTCTCGGTAAACGGCTCTCTTTCTGCGACACACGCGACCGGGGAGATCAGTAGATTGCGGCCAAAGTTCGAAAAGCGCGGCACTCTGCGAGGCGGCCTTTGACGCGACCCGCCTTTGTGCTCTATCAGCGTTCTTTAATCATTTCTCGTGGCGAGAGGGGGATGATCTTCCTCCGACCTTCTTCCAAGGTGGTCTTGGTTTCTTTCATCGGGAGAATGCATCACCGTCGCCGGCGGTAACGAGGGAGACGCGATCGCGCGAAGAATCAGCGGAATGAAATTGCGAGACGTCCTACGCTTTCGACGTGCGGAGACAGACGACGTAGTCACGCGCATCTTATAATTATAATTATCTCGCCTCGGTGTCGCCTGACGGACGCTGCGATCGACACATTTCGCGGGTTTCGTCGCGGCTTTTTTTTTTTGCCGTTCTGCGCGTTCAACTCGCCGTTGTGCGATTTCGACGTTTATATCGATGTACGAGACGACTGACGTCCAATAAGCGATTTCGTAGCACGCCGTTTTATTGACAAGCAAATAAAACGGTGTCACCGCGCGTTCGATCCTTAATAGACTTTCGCCACTTCAGCTTGTCAAATATTTGGCAAGGAGTTCCCGGGGACAGGACTGCTCCAAATTTGCTCGCGTGACATTTTTTCGAAAATCGACGTTTTACAAGAGGTGGAATAACTTGAGACCTCGGATGATACGTCGAGCGGTATAAATATTTGCGCGAAACACGATTCCTGGCACGCGCCGATTATATTCAAGGATTACTGATTTCCATTATTGAAATTAATTAACAACCAAGACACCTGAAATACATTTAAATTCCAATTATTTAGCCAATTAAATTATATTGTTAATTACGGTAAAATATGTGATAAAAACAAATGTACATTCTGCGCTTGGCACATGTTAAAATCCGGATGTTATAATTAGTTAGAAAATAGGTAGAATTTGCAAAGAGAATAAAATTGCTGATTTGTTATACGACGCAATGCGCGTGACAAGTGTGATTTTGTCTGATTTTCACAGATATCGAACGAGGTGTCAAAAAGTCTTAACAAACGTACAGCCGTACTCTGAAAAAGGACTCCAAAAACTTTGAAGGATCCTTCCAAGCGCCAAGATTCCCCTCCTGTTATTCCATTCCTCTCACGAACTTCTTGTAAACGAGATATCTGACTTGATATATTTTTATAGGAATTTTCGCGCGAATAAACTCGGGTCTAAGGCGAAATTTCAATATCATGTGTCGAATATCGGCGATACAGTCGGTTCCGCGTTTCAAGCTGGATCACCCACGGCTCCGATTTCACGGAAACACATTAAGCGGACAGAGTGAACAGGTTTCACAAGCTATCTGTAGAACGCGGGAGGTGTTTCGGCACAGGCAAAGGCGAACGGAGACACGTATCGACGTGGGAATAGCTGCGACGCGGGGGGGGAACACATCGAGGGCCGCCGCCCTCGTAGCGACCACCCCTCGTGTCGCCCTTTCGGAGAATTCGGTTTTTCCCGAGAAGATGCAAAGTGAGGCGAACACTACCCGCAAAACGTTTTTATGCGCACGCTTCTACGCTTTCGTGGAACAAGAGCTCTATGAATAATATAAATCGAAAATGGCATCTCTTTGATGCGCTACAGGACGCCGCTGACCGCGCTTGGCTCGGCGCAATTTTCCAGCCGTGAGAGAAATTCGTCGGAGTATTACGTATGCTTGTGGAGTGAAAAATTCAAAGCGGCGTATTTTAAGCCGCTTAAAAATTGAACCGGACTTTAACGCGATCACGCAATTGTATCGCGAAGGTGTTGTCACTCGCAGGCAAATAAATACGTTCGACGCAAAATTATGGATTTCATGGCGCTAATTAATTCACGCAAACAAATTAAATAATGCTGTTTGTATAATGTGTACACATACTTATCGGGGTCCCTGTCCAAAAGCGCCGGCGTGCTGGACGCTTTGATTCGCCGATGAGCTTTGCTGAGGCCGGGAATCCGCCTTCTCTCTCTTCCGGCGTGGCCGCTCGTTCTGTAGTCGTGCAGAGGCTGAAACAGTCGAGCGGAGAGCGAAGTGTTAAACGATCGTCGAGATAATTCTCGAACAATATTCCTTTCTCGCAGCAACATATTCAATTAGAACATTATTTATTGCTTAATAGAAACACTCATTGCCCCGCCCACCGCGTAGACTGAAGGAGGTCGGCGTTTATTTTCAACGTAAGATAAGGCACGCATCAGCGTGCTCAGACACGTATTATTGATGACAATTGATAACCCCCCGCGAGAAAGTTGCGTTACGTGTACCTTTCCCACGATTCGGCTAGGCACGCACGAATGCGCTTGATCATTCATATCTTTGTATCGGTATCGATATCGGGTGCGCTTTGACCGAGTTACACCCGATATTACATTGCTAAACCCCGCTACAAGTGGGTCACCGGACAACTGGTTTCATTTGAATCGGCAGTTCTTCTTTTTCAGCGTTTTTTTTTTTTTTTTAATCCAGGTCGATAAATTCCAAATGGCATAAATTTGAATTTTATTCGTAACTTGTTTCTCGTGCGGCCATAAAAAATGATTATTTATATAAAAATGCGAGCGGCAACAAATCACGGCGTAAAATTTGATCAATAAATTTATTTGGTGAATTAAAAATTTTTGCCGGTAGCCGAAATGATTTTTCCGTCGTGTGCACGCGCGACAATTAATCGTCGCTGTTGAAATTGCATCGTTCTTAGGTGCAACTGATCGATCTGTTCGCATCATCGGCCCCGCAACCCCGAGCACACATCGCTGCGAACCTCGTCTTATCCGCGGTAATCGACGAAAGCGTTGATTTTGCGGTTTCTGTCCATCCTTTCACGTGGCGCGTTCGCGGGAAATGAAAGGGGTGCAAACGGTGTCGTGCCACAAAGGTTGATTATATCTCTGCAGCTGTCTCGCCACCGTGCGCGACGTTCTACTAATTAAGATTCCCACGCGGTGAGAAAGCGATGCACGACGCGTGTATGTATATAAATCGTCGGGATGAATCGCACGCCCTCGGATTTCAATCGCTCACATCCTTCAAACGGCTCTCCTTAATCGCGCTAATTTAAACAAGATTGTAAAAACTTGATTCGCGATCAGCTTTCTGTTCAAACGCCTTTTATTTCACCAACTTGCTTCATCAAGTAATCTGAAAATCTGCAAGTTACACTCTCGATCTTTAACATTTCTGCCAATTAAAAATCTGACCGAGTAATTTTTGGCAAATCGTTCCTCATAAATAACATATTTCTAGCGTTCGAGATATCCTTTTATTCGAGTTTCATATGCGTTTAATTTGAAATAATCAAAACCAATACACGATCTCGGCATTATTATATCAAAAGCGCGAATTTCACCGCGAATTTCGCGAATGCGCGGCGCGGCGCACGATATATGGAAACGTCCGCTTCCGGTTACGCTAACGCGTGTATAAACACGCGGCAGATAGCGTCAGTTCGACACGACACATCGTCGACGGACGTTAACGAACCGACACAACATTGTCGTCGCTGCGGATGATGCATGTAGGTCGTTGCCAGCCGCGGCCGCGGCACACCACCGTTGCGTGCAGAGAGCGAGCGCGGTGGCGTGAGCGATGCATCTCTACCGGTGCATCCGCGACCGGAGACGTCACCGGCATCGGGGGCCATTACTCACGCGTCGCCGATCGATGATCACTTCCGTGCCGTGTGTAATTATGGATCGGTCCGGGGACCCCCCCCCCCCCGCGACCAATCCCGTCGTCACGGGACTCGCGTATTCGATTACTTCGCCGTGAGTGAAATATTACAGTTGAACGGCTTCCTAACGCGACGCCGGGAATATCGGATTCTAAGGAGCAACGCGGCGCGGCGCGCGGGAGAGGAGGCCTTGCCTCGCCGGTGATGAATGAAGCGCATTAGCGTAATGTGTATTAACCCTTAGCTGCGGGGAGAACGCGGATCGGCTCTCACACAACTTCCGTAATCGGGTATCAGATGCATCATGCTCCCGCTGTCGGGAACAGTCCGTAAGAATATGTTACAGGGGAGGAATTATAAATCCGGACGGATGAAAAATGAAAAGCCGCGTGTTACGAAGTGCGCGATCGAGCCCGGAATTAATAGACTTTTATCGACAGAATTGAATCTCTCAGGCGGAATTTGTATCTGACAACCGCTTTGCTGGGTTCTTACAAGCGCGCGCGGATGGAGATCGGCGAAATTAAACGGTCGCGCCGGCTCGCATACGAGCCACGCGCGCTATTGGGGGAGGCCGGAAAATTAGCGGCTTGAGGTCGGCTTAATTAAACCCGGGAATGTCTAACTCGAATGGCAGTAAGTTTGCGGGTTTACGGTGCGACGTTTACTGCCGTGCACAACCATAGACAGAACTGTTTCCGCGTCGCGATTTACCGCGAGCGTATGTGTCGTTGCGACCGCTAATTATATCCATTCGGCGCGATGTGCGCATTTGTTTCCGGCACAGTCAGTCTCCATGATTTTCCTCTCGAAATAAAACACGAAAATCCTTCTTATTATCAATTAAAGGATCAGCTCTCTACTTTTAAAGAACTACGAACAAGTTGGGAAGCTTAATCTCGAAGTTGAGAATATTAAATTTAAATTTATCTCCTTCGAAAGTTTTTCAAAAGAGCGGACCAGTCCATTATCATGATCTCTGAAGCTTACAACTTCGGGTAATTCATTTTTCGTGTATAAACGGCATTAGCAGTTTTCAAAGCTAATAATATTGTAAAAAATAAAATTTTCTCCGATATCCAAAGACGCGTACACGAAGAAAAATAGTATTCTTACTTGATAAACGAGTGAATTCGCCGAACAATTTCAGTTATTTATCGCAACGTCCACGGATGATAGATTATTGTAGTTAATTCGATAAGTTGTTATTTGACAGGGGGAAAAAATATTGTCCTTTCGGAAGGAGCTGGGGCTGAACTACTTACAGAAACGGGGGCTGTGTGAGATGTGACCATTTCTTGCGCGCGATGGAGCCGGCTGGGGCTAGGGCTGGATCGCTGGGAATCCTGTCCGCGTTTCCAGGATCCTGACTTACTATTGCTGCAACAGACAAATGAGAAATCTCATTTATTTCCACCGCAAGTTACGACATATTTCTTAAAAATTGACATGTGGATCATTAAGATCTTTACACGAGAAGAAAAACCGAGAGATTCTTCTCTTTCTGCAATCGCTGCAATCTTTCAGAGCTGCGATGTTATGGAAGAAAAAAAAAAAACTGACGGTTAAAGCATCCTCGTCCTCTCGTTGCTGACGCACTTAACGCGCGGTTACTTGATATATCGAGAACTGATATCGAGTGACTCAAAGACTTATTCATTCGTCCGCGTAACTGCTTACGCTTGCAGTGTAGAATCACAAACGTGAGTAACGTTATCTCAATTAATTCACACGCCGGTTTATCGTGTTATCGGTATCGGATTGCAGCGTGCCTGATAGGCGCGATGCGCCATGCAGACGATTAATCAATAATCACGGTGCGGTGCGTCGTGCGAATCTCAATTAATGGGGCCGCGGCAGGGCGGGGGCGGGATAAAGCAGACGTAACATACGTCTTTGAGTTGCATCTCGTTATCTTAGTAGGTCGCGTACGAGCGCGGTGAGACCGTAATGAGCCTCGCGTAATAAAATTGCACCAAATTAATTCGCGTGCTCGGGTTAATAACGCGGAAAAACGGTTTTCCACTTCGCTGCGATTGCGCGTGCCGATGGCAGAGGCACGTTGTGTGTCTTGCATTAATTTTTGCAGTAAACAAATGTTTACTAATATTTTGCAATACACTGCGTCGATTGTGAAATGTGTCCTACAATTATGTTTCCTCGATATTCTTTTCTTTTTTTTTTCAATATGTTCTTCAATTTAATTACATTAAACGCTTTTAATTGTGCAAAAATTATAAAGCAACATTTTCATTGAGAACGTATCAGTTCCAAGTCGTCCAAAGAACCTATAATGAAAATGATATTCGATGGTTTCGACATATCCTACCGAAAGTCCTGATGTGAGACAATCGGATAATTATTGAAAATAAATTCTTGTCATATTATTGTACTCAATATTTTATTATTACATATTATATTATTATAAAAAAAAAATAAAATTTTAAACGTCGTTTTCGTTACTAAATCGTGAAAATTTTAGTGATTTATTTTATACCGCGAATTATATGAAACCGCAGATCGCCGACGATACCGCAATTTGACAATAACAAACAATTTGGTACACAACAAACGGAAGTGAAACAAAAGCACTACAATCAATAAACACGTTTTCCTTCGCCGACGGCGATTCGGTCGGCAATGATTGCGGCTTTCGCGACTGGATGAGAAAAACATTTTCGTAATAAATTACGGCGGAGCACACGGCTTATCGCTCTGACGCGATAATGGGTGCGATGTTGTAAGTTATGGGGTCAAGGGTCGTCAGGTACGATTTGTACCTACGCTCGTTTCGTCGATAACCCCTCCACACACAAAGACTGCGGTTAATCGTCCCGATTGTCGAGAGTCATGAGACAATAATTTAGGGTTACGTATCGTACAATGACGCGGGCACGACTTTCTACTCGAATACGACAGTGCGTGCGTGCGTGCGTGTGCAAAAGTGCGCGCGGGAAAGCAATTTCTAATACTTTTTTGCGACATTTGTACATACGAGCAGACGCCGAGCTCGTTGTTTTGATCTCGGCGTCTTAAATTTCTCGAGAGCTTTTGCGATCGCCTCGATAAATCAGAGCAGAGGCGTTCGTTCGATTTTTCTCGTGCGAGATTCCGATCTCGTCGGGGAGAAGAAATCGGTTCACGAGAAAATCGCGCGGATCGAAGAAAGGCGAGCTCGGGCAGCGCGGGTGCGGGAGAGCGAAATTCGAAATCGTCTGATCTCGCATTCTCACGGAGGCGCTTCATTATTCGCGAATAAATGCATCCTCGTAAGTCGTATTAGAAACCTGCGACGGGCAGGTATGACGTACCGATCGTCAAACGGTGAAAGGCGATAATAAACGCCGCGGCGCGGCGCGAACGAACAAATATAATCGCGTGTACGAGTGCGCCGTTCCTGTTATCGAAGGAGAGGAAAAGAAGAAAAGCCGGTAAAAAGAAAGTCCCGTCTGCGTTCACCCTTTCGTTGATGAGGCTGACGTAGCGGCGGTAAGCCGTCTATGCCGATTGAAGGCAGGTCACGACATGGCTGGGCATCCGAGTTCATCGATTTATTCCACTTTCTAACGTGTCGACCCGATCGTAACCAGCGCGAAATCGTCTCTCCTCGCGCGCGATGGAAGCGGCGGACTGTCGTCCGATGAACGGGCGAGATTTACTTAACCCCTGCGCGGAGATGAGCGACGTGTGGCTTTTGCGAAAGATCGCTTCTCGATGTTGATTCTGTCGTGCTTGTCATCATGTTAGCCGTCTCTATTCTCGGCTGCTGGCGTCAGTAAGGCGAAGCGATTCGCGGCAGCTTTTCTTCTTTATTCTTTATTCGCACGATTGTGAGAGCGACGTTAAATTGATTTCGAAAATGTTACACAGCGTTATCGATCGCCTGTACATTATTGAAAATAACTGTTCAATTTATTCGAGAAATATTAATATGCCTGTTGTTGAAAGAGTATTTGAAATGAGAAAAAATGACGAGAAGAATGTAATAAATAAAGTCCTATCGATTCATCTGAAGATAAATTTAATTAATAAACGCTGCGCGCTTTCCCCCATAATTTTACAAAAGCATACATAAAGACAGATACTTTGAGGTATCTATATTTGTATCTAGAAGCTCTTGACGTAGCTAAGTGCACGGTATGGCTCTGCTATTATGAAATATGGCACATTAAAGTTTGATGGATGATTACAAAAACTGTCTCGCACGTTCGACGGTGCAGGATCTAATATTTACCGTCTGCTTCGTGGAAACTACGTCACCTGCCGCACGGCACGATCGAAGGATATTGGCACATCGTGCTTGGTATATATAAGCGAATATCTGCCTTGTGCGATACGTGCTTGCGACCAGGTGCACCGGATCCTTTCCGGTCGTGGAAATGCGTCATTTTCGTGTAGAAAGCGCAAACACCGCTAGCAACATTTCCAAGGCTAAGGAGTTTTGTGTCTAAGTTGTCGACGGCCTTGCATAAAGAGCACATGTCTCGAACATTGAGAAATGAAAGCATAGAAATATAAATATAATCTTGCAGTTCCTCGCTGCATTCGATTCACTGCATTATTTTCATATACTTATTATATCAATTTGCTCATATTATAAAATTGAAACTCGTCTCTTCCTTTTTTGTTTCGTGTTTTAATGTATATAACATTGTCTTATGATTGCACGATTAAGAATAAATTTCTCAATAATAAATAAATATAGCAGAATATTCTAAACCGAATGGTTCTTTAACTACGTTATCTTTGTCCAATATGAAAATAATTCTTTCTCTAACGAAAATGCTAAATACTTTAAAACATGCGGCAGGATACCTTCCTTCCGTTACAAGTTGCCTGACAAACTTTATATTTAATTTTTTTCCCCAGCATATTACATACGCATATAAACTTCATATTAATAATTTTACGGAGGAGAAGCTGGAGTTAATCTCTCTCAACCTGTGTTTCTATCATGCTTAATATGAAGGCGTAGACTCGCCAATTCGCCCAGGGCACCGAAATACCTCCATCGCGGCCCTTATACGCGTGGGTGTGTTCGCTGGTGGGCAATAACCGGTCGTAAAATCTTACCGGTTTCACAGCGTAGCTTCTCTCAACTCCAGCTGCGTCTTATGAATATATACGTGACTTTTTTCGTTCTTGCTCGGTGCACTCACTTAACAGACGTGCAAGATGCGCTGCTGCTGTTCCTCCGCGCCCCGCAAATTCACAGATAAACACACGATTTTTCCCGTTTAACACCTTGCGTGCGTTTTGTGAATGATTATTTTATTGAGCAACGATTGATAACAATCGCATCCGTAATAATTTCGCGTAACATACTATTTTGCTGCATGCGAGATGTTTCCGCAAGAGAACACTGTTAAATATCTCAATAAATATCAAACAGCAATCCGAGAACTTCTACGCCTTTAATTTCTTTTAGCACATCCGCGTGTGCGTTGTTTATAAAGAATTGGTAATAGCGAAATAATTGAAATAAATTATAAAACAGGACTTCGTTTTACGCTCGTCTGAGCGGGAAAATTAAAAAAATAATATATAAATGATAAATAATTTCTGTACATTTTAAATTAATTAGCACAATTTCAAGTTTATTAGCTGCGCATCCGCGTGCGAGATACGTATGATTTACTCAACAACTTCTTTATCTTTTCTATTTGAAGGATTACTTAATAATCACGAGATAAACGCCGTTTGCTGGATCCACAGCCATCGCACATGCGGTAAAAACTGGTTGTATTACAAGGTAGATTACCGAATCGCTAAGTCATTCGAAACGCTGGGTTTCTCTTTTTCTCATATTTTCAAGGATTCAGAACTTTCGCAACTCACGCGAGCGTTAAAACGAGATTGCGGCATTTATCGATTCGTTGTTAATAGCACGCGTATCCGTACGTTATCGCGGCCGTTTGCTGACACGAGCTGTATCTTTTTCAGGCTATTACGGTTTATGTGTTAGCGCACGAAGCGGCAGCCCGGATGCTGGCGACTCCTCCTTCCGCCCATTGTGAGTTTCGTATTTGCGTGTCACGTTGTCGTCAACTTGTTTTGCATAATCGACAAAATTGCATAAAATTTGCAAAATGTGAATTTACAGTTGAGAAATGTTACGAGAATTTAAGGTAAATGATGTTGCAGAGTTCATACATACTTTATTAAGTTATTTTACGTATCTAACAAAATTAAAACTAAAATATTAATCAAATTATATTTATTTTTATGTACGTATATTTCAAAAAGAATTAATGATTTTTAAGCTTCAAATGCAATTTCTTATATTAAATCACATTACTATTGTAAAATGATAGCTTTATTATTAAATTGCCTCTATGACGTCAATTGAATATTAAGCGTAATAGCACTTGTTGATAAGA